CGGGTTCAAATCCCGTTGAAGCCCTGATTTTTTTCAGGCTTCTTCTTTCCAATTGCTTAAATTGGAAAATTTACTGCGATGATCTTCTTCACTTTCATCTACAACCGCTGTTCAAATATGAATTATTTCATATACACTTCACATCATTTCTGCACTCCTCACAGGAAGATATGAACTCAGTTAATTGACCTCGCTCCCACTGTGGGGCTTCATAGCTCAGTTGGTGGAGCATAGCACCGGTATCACGGAGGTCATGGGTTCAAATCCCGTTGGGACCCTGATTTTTTCAGGCTTCTTCTTTCCAATTGCTTAAATTTACTGCGATGATCATTCTTCACTTTTACTCACTGTACATGTTAAGATTTTGTTGGTTTTGGAAAAGGGTCTTGGAAGCATTCTTCACTTTAGTGTATCCATGTTATTGTGATACATTAAACTCATCACAAATAGGTGAGCTTGGGAACTGGTGCCTGAAAGGTTAGCGGGGAGCGGAAGCCGTACGCGGAAGGGGAGGTATCCATGGCAACCCTGGAAGCGGGAACCAACCCCCAAAAGCGGCCGCTAACTGGCACCATCACACTGATTGAATCAGTGGAAACAACTTACCTGACCAATACCTACCTAGAGACCAGCAACCAAGAGGGAGGGATGGGAAGGGGCAAGAATCCGCAAAGATTCGTCAAAGTACAAAGCAAATGATCTGGGATCACAATACGTGCAATGCAATGTGAGACAACAGCCCTGCAAATCTCCAAAGGGCCGCCCCGCAAGTCACGTACTGTAAAAGGGGGAACCGCTGACTGCATTGGTTCGAGTCTAACTTTGCCTAAATCATATTTAGCCACATTTAACCCTGACAGGAGACACTGTTTGACACAACATGGTTAAACCCATATAAAAATGCAAGAGGGAGGAAACAGTGACCCAAAGAGGTCTGGGGATGACTTCCCAACAATGCAACTCAGTGATCCCAGCAGGTCCAGGAGCTCTTGATCTGAAATCAATAGCGGTGCTCAGATCAGAGGGGCAAGTCTAAAACAGGGGTGAGGGATGTGAAATAAGGAGTGAGGAGTGATAGGTGGGGGTGACAGGTGACAACTGACAGGTGAGGGGTTCTCTTTGCTCTGGCTAATGCTCAAAATGTCAACTTTATTAATTCACTACTAACAGCAATTTAACTTTGTCTTAATCAATTTCAGGTTAATATTACATACATAGCAAAGTATTTCACTTGCACACTGACACAACCCAACAGTTTCTAAAGGAACTTATGCCTTAGTTTTATCCACTGACAGACACTCTTCTCCCAAACATGTTAGTAGTCCTTTCCAGTGTACCATGGGTGTGCATTCTTTGAAAAGAAAATGTCATACTATGTTTTCAAGTGCTTTTAAATGCATTGTGGGAAGACGTGCTCCTATAATGCATAAGTTGGAAATATTTGTTTCAAACATGTTGAAGAGGAAAAGTTGAACTACATGTGCAATATTTATAATCCATTTTAGCTCTAACATTTGAAATTAAACAAAATATTTTATTTGTTTGACAGGTGTTATTTGAGGGTGTGCGTGGAGCAAGCTATACCGGGGACATAGCCATTGATGACTTTAAGCTGATGGATGGGCCTTGTAATCAGCCAGGCTATTGCGACTTTGAGAAAGATGACTGGTGTACATGGACCAATGCGGATAGAGAGGACACGTTTGATTGGTTAGTTGGTAGTGGTGGAACGCAGTCAGCCTATACAGGGCCTTCTGTTGATCACACCACAGGTTTGTGACATACTCTTACTAACTACATTGTCCGTGTTCTCAGTTCCTAAGATAATACATTATAATAGATTTAGCCAAGCCTAAAAGCAGAGCTCCTATTACAGTAAATTAACCTAACTCGAGCCTGCGATCCAATCAAAAACCAGTTTTTGGTCAGTATTAAACTTAAAAAAAACCTGAGCCAGAGATACTGGTCAGCGGATAGCTTACATGGATGCCCAGTATCAAAGATGTACACAGTAATCCAAGGCTGTAAGACTTGATCAATCAATTCGCTGGAGTATGGCCACCATGTTGTGTGACGTCATTGCTTTTCATCTTAGGGCGCCCATGCCTGCGATCCATGTCACTTGCAATGTTGACCATGAAAAAGGAGTTGAATGGTTTTCTATTTCTATGCATGCATGTGGTTCTGTTCCTATACATGTAGTTTTGGGGCTGCACTTGGCGGGAGTGCTATAAAGAACTATTAGTAATGTTTGCTTGGATTTCTTTTAAATGTAAAGTTTGATTCACAAGGGTTATTGACCAAGTGTTAGCTCAAGATGGCTGGTTAAAAAGGTATTGGAGGTCTGTAAGCATGCAAAAAAAGTCAAGACCAGTATCTAGCCATCTTGACTGAACAAGCCTGGTCAATAAAGAATTTAGTATAATTATGGTCTATAGGGGGCAAGACAGTACCTTCTTGCCCTGCTCAGATTAAAGAACTTGGTTTGTTTTTCATGCTTTCTTACAGGATGATCTTTCAATTCATTATACTGAATAGATGCCTTGACCATTAATTTGTCCATAGATATAATGTAACAATGATGCATGATCAATGTAATGTTTAGGCCATGTCTCACTCACTCACTCATCCTCTTCGCTCCTTCGTGAGTGGAGCATTAGGCCATGTCTAGAACAGTTTATATCACTTCCGTTTTGGAAAACAAAGCCGCTATTGGAGGGCAAGACACATGTATGCACATGTATACCAGAACAAGTTTATTTTATTTATTTATTTTAAAGATTAGCCATGAGACAGGCGGGCATACAAAGGTTTAATGAAAAGACACGTCCGTGATTTGAGACGTAATGATTTAGCACAAAATCAATATTTAAGCTGTGAGATGTTGCTTAATTGTACTGAAATTCTCCTTTGCAGGACTTGGTATTGGTAAATACATGTTTATAGAGACATCTGCTCCGAGAAGACCAGGTGATAAAGCCAGACTGTATAGCGAACGCTTTACAGCGACAAGTTTACGTGGATCTTGTATCAAGTTTTGGTACCACATGTATGGAGCATCGATAGGTACTCTTAATGTTTTAATCAAGACTGGTGCAGGTAATCGTTCTGAGGATATTGTGTGGACACTATCTGGGAACCAACAAAATAAATGGAATTTTGGGCAAGCTCCAGTCACAAGTACCAAAAGTGACTATCAGGTAAGACTGTGATAGGTCAAATAATTACTGGTATGACATGACTAAGATGTCTGAGAGGGCAAATAACTAACATCACCTGCTTATAATTGCCAGTTCAATAATTTTTGTATGGGTACTGAATTACAGCTTGAATTAAGCTGTGTAATAGATATCTTCTGAGCCAACCTCAGTCTGGATCATTAGGAGAATCTTGGCTCTGATTAATCTACATGTACAATGTATCATAGGACATTGGCCCTGGTTGAACCATAAGAAATAAGCCAATATTCTCCAATATAGCACTTGTACTGTGGTGCGTCCTAACAACCACACTGGTGCATGCACCACCAATATAATCAAGTAAAACATGTTATAAGAAATCAGTTCTCTCTGTTGTGACAGTCCTCCTGAAACAAGTTGTTTTTTGCAGAGCAAGTTGAGATTTGATAGCCTACTGAAGTATACATGCCAAGGGGTGATTAAGATAAACCACATAAATCAATGTTTCTAAGATTCAGATGGCTTAAGAGTTTCAGCCAGACAGTGTTTATGTGTAAATTGTTTGACTGGATGTAACTGTTAAGCAATTGTGTTGGAAATCTTTTGTGGCTTGCACTATGGTTGTGGTAGAAGTGCGTTTGGTTGTTCTTCATGTGCAGTGCCGCGTTTTCCTTTTCAGATTGATGAAGAAGAATTCAAAATGTTTGCAAATATCTACAAAGATTGCAGAGAAAATTTAGGATGGTTGTGCAAATCAAAAGTAAAACCCAATCTCACACATAAGAAAGTGACACACAAGCTGCTATTCTGTACTGACTTACAGATTATGTCTTTTTTTTGTGTGTGTCAGATTGTATTTGAAGGCATCAGAGGAACGAGTTACCAGGGTGATATAGCCATAGATGACATCGCATTAACAGTTGGTGCCTGTGTAGTTCTTCCACACAATGCAGTACCCACTCTTCCCCCAACCACACCAATTAGCACGGCAACCCCCACAGCACCACCCAAAGGGAAATTTGATTGCGATTTTGAAATTGACTTCTGTTCATGGACTCAAGATTCAAGTGACACATTCAACTGGACGAGACATCATGGGAGAACTTCGTCAACAGCCACTGGACCAACTACTGATCACACTTTAAAAACAGGTACATTCCAAATCTCTCCTCATAATCATCCTTGTGCTTATTCCATGGCTTACTTGGTACATCTGTGCACTGAACACTGGGTCAAGTGGACTGGGTTAGAGCCATGCCTGGGATCACTGTGTTGTTTGCTTGAATGAGACATGTAACCCTCACAGTGCTTCTCTCCATTATGCAGGGTACCAGCATGCTGTTCAGGTGCAGTGGCAAAATTTGCATGGGGTAGGGGAGTGGGGGTTCCTCTAAATGGCCTAGCATTCCACTAAGACGATAGAATGCATCCTGCATTTGCCCCATTATTTTTTACAACCACATATTTTTAGCCTAGATTGGTTTAGATTTGTAGATTAACTGTGCACTGTGTAAAAAGCGAACTGTGGAAATGAAATGAAATGAGTCCATGCAATGTACTGTGAAAAGGAAAATTGATCAAGATTTGTTGCTGGTGTTACCATTTCCCTTTCCTGAAGTGCATTAAAAGTGGTTGTGTTATTAATTAATAATTGTTTTTCTGTTCTTATATAGTAAATGGCACCTATGCCTATATCGAAGCTTCATACCCTCGGCAGCAGAATGATACAGCTCGACTTATTAGTGCTCTAATTCCACCCAACACAAGACCTGGTACATGCGTTTCATTTTGGTATCACATGTTTGGTTTTGATATTGATACACTGAGTGTCTACACAAAGTCTGGAGGTTCACTCGGATCAGTTGTTTGGCAGAGAAAAGGAAATCAAGCAGATAAGTGGAAGTACGGCCAAGTGTTTTTGAGGATGGTGCTATCCTATCAGGTGAGCTAAATGCCCTACAAGGGAGTCGGCTCTTTACATGTATGTACAGTAACTTTTTCAGTAATGGCTGCCTGTCAGAACCATGAAAGTAATCCTTTATGTACAACAATTTCATCTACTGAAAAAGGGCTAAGCCCGAAACGTTTAGCAAACCAGCTAATATCTGACACTTTTAAGAGCCCTCAGCCTCATATTTAGTTTATATACAACAATGCCAAACAACTGTATTTTTATTTTGGGAAAACTTCTCTCCCAATATCTGGTGAGCATCACATTTAATAGGCAGCAACATGGAGATCTGACTGACATTAGTAATGCTGAGATCATGACAAGACTTTGAATTTTGAACTGACTCAAGATCATATGAGCAAAGCTGTGATTGGCCAAACCTCAGAAAGGAATATAGTTTGGTTATCAGCATCTGTCAGCGGGAAGAAACATTGCATGTAGGCTTCACAACAGGACTTAAATGAGAATCCAATACTAAGGGGTTGAAGAGGAAAAATCTTTCTTATTAAATCAAAACTGTGATTGATCTCTGTGTCAAGGTTGTTTTTGAGGGAGTTCGTGGCAAGGGTTACCATGGAGACATTGCATTGGATGATATCGTTATCAAAGATGGCTTCTGCCCTCCGCTTAAAGAGTGCGCATTTGAAGATATTAACATGTGTGGATGGACCAATGAAAAGAGGTACTTAATTACACATTGCATGTGGCAAGCAGTACTTCAAACACTAGACACCATGCTTCATCACACCTTTAGACTTGTATATAATGCGCATTGGAGTATATTTAGGAAATTGGAGGTTGTGGAATTGTCATGAAACTCTATTTTTAACAAGTGTTTGACCTATGTTATGTGACTAAGGAGTAAGAGGATAAAAAAAAATTGCTTAAATCTGTGCTAGCTATTCAACCACTGCCATGGTTATGTTTCTTTTGTTTGAGTTAAATGAATTATTAGTGTTTGAAAAAACAATCTTCCAAGATGAATCAAAATCCTGCCTGAGCTTAGGCTGGATTACTAGTTGCAGTTTTAGAAAGGAGCCTGCCCTCATCCTTTGAACTGTCGGGAAGGAACATAGACTGGGCTTGAGTGAGTGACGAAAACCGAGCCTGACCTGAACCATGAAATTATGGTTTGTTTCTCCATAGTGTCGATGACTTTGACTGGACACGGCAGAGTGGGTCTACATCAAGCACAGGAACTGGCCCAACATTTGACCACACCTTTGGAACAGCGAAGGGATACTACATGTTTATTGAGACCTCGCTTCCAAGAAAACCAGGTGACAAGGCACAACTATTGAGTCCCAAGTATCCTGCAACTCCTGGGAAATGCCTGCAGTTTTGGTACCACATGTATGGAAGACACATTGGAACTCTAAATGTTCGCGTGAAACGCTTGGTTCAAGGCAGACCCACCTACTTTTTACAGTGGTCTAGAAGTGGAGACCATGGAAACCGTTGGAGAGTGGCTCAGGTAGAGGAAGTGCATTTGTTTGCATATATTTGAACTGTACTGAATGCTCACTAATGGATATTTTTTAAACTTGTCAGGCCAACTGTACACTTACTTAAACCCTAACATGCCCTGCACTTAAAGTAGCCTTCCGTTACATGCAGAGTGCTTTCACTTTGGGTCATCTTGCTAGTTGTATTGGGGTAGAATTACTTTTGGGGAGCAAAAAGTGTTAAAGTTGGTTAAATGTTCATCTGTCAGTAATCACAGTCTTCGATTCTGTTGATAGGTGTCTTTAACTCAAACTTCGGATTATCAGTTAGTATTTGAAGGAATAAGAGGAACCAGTTACCAAGGCGACATAGCCATTGATGACGTTGTGTTATTAGATAACACTTGCCCGCCTCCAGGTGATTGCAACTTTGAGACTGGCATGTGCACTTGGGTCAATGTTCTCCAAGGAGATGACTTTGATTGGCTGCGTGCGAGTGGTTCAACGACAAGTCTCAAAACTGGTCCCTCTACCGATCACACAACCAATTCTTCTGGAGGTAAGTGACTCATTTAAAAAGTCATTGAACAAAATTGATCAATTTATTCGCATTGGTTACTGCAGTACCTTACTGCAAGAAGCAAACTGACGATGGTTGGGTAGGTGGTATGTCTTTTGGTGTTAATCTTAGAATTATATAAATTGAAATTAGTATTATTTTTATGCTCATCTTTGGTGGATTGCGAGTCCAACATGCTGACCACTCAGCCACGCTGCCTATACAACTCCTCCACGTTTTGTAAATAGCCAACTGGTCAGCCTCCCGCTAGTTGGGATTTTTAACAAGTTTCTGTTTAATTTACAATATTTGTTTGCTTGCTGCAGTGTCCACAATTAGCACAGCAGTGCTAAGCACTTTATTAATTAATTAATTAATTAATTTATTTATTTATGGAAACAAGGGTAATCTCTGGCTCAGGTGTTTTAACCATACCTCTTGATTTCACCTCTGACAGGATATTACATGTTCATTGAAACATCAAGTCCAGTTAAACCAAATGATAAAGCACGGCTGGAGTCAGAAGAGTTCCAGCCAACAGGATCATCAGGGCGTTGTTTAAAGTTCTGGTATCATATGTATGGAAGCGCCATTGGAACATTGAATATTTGGATGAGCAGTAATGGTACGTCTGGAAAGATCTGGAGTTTATCTGGAGATCAAAAGAACCAGTGGCGCTTCGGGCAAGCTCCTGTTAGCAGCAAGGGTGTTTATCAGGTCAGTAGCGTGTTTGATTCTGCAAGAGCTACATGTCTGTGTGGGGTAGAGTTGAAGTCGAAAAATTTGCTGATCTCTTGAGAGGCTTTTCAGAGATAATGAAGAAAACAATCATGAGGAACAAACTAATACTATAAATCAAACACAACAAAGTAATAAAAAAATTCTTGTTTTCTCCTCTTGGTGTGTAGGTTATCTTTGAAGGTATCAAGAGTCAAGGTTACACTGGTGATATTGCCATTGATGATGTGCAGTTCACAGTAGGTAGCTGTAATGTCCTGCCATCAAGTGCTCAGCCAAATAATCCTTGGACCACTCCAGCAGTGTCTACTACCTCGCCCACCACAGTACCAACAGCAGGTAAACAATTTTTAATGGTACTATGTACTATGTATAACCTTCCCTTTGCATGTTTTGTTCACAATGCCACAGTTACATCAAGCATAACAACTCCAGCCTGCAGAAAAGGTCTCTCACTCTGTTTTCCGAGGCTATTTTCTTTAAGTAAGATTGCAACGTACTGGTCAGGGTTTATGATAGAGAAGGTTTATGAGGGGAGACAGTGTTTGTGTGAAAAGCCCCATTCTCTCCACATACTTGCAGCTATGAATCTCATTCAATGTGGTTTTCTTGCGCATCTTGATACCACGAGATTTGACATTAATGCGATCGTCATGGCATTTCTTAAAACATGTGTAAAACATCAGTTTACTCTTATGGACCGGAACAATGGCTTTTTTTTTAACCATTTAACCTTGAAACAATCCTGAAGGGAAAAGAAAACTACATGTACTTTCCTTGATAAAAACGAGAGATGAAAGTCTCATACATGCATACTGATGCGATATTATTTTCTCAATTGGTTAGCTCCTTCCATCTATGACTGCACATTTGAAAGTGATTGGTGCTCCTGGACCCAGGCACTAGATGATAAATTCAACTGGACTCGAGCCCAAGGAAAGACACCTTCTCGAAATACCGGGCCTGCTACTGACCACACCACCGGTGGCTCTGCTGGATTCTACGTCTACATTGAGACTTCATTTCCTCGAAAGGCTAACGATACAGCACGTATTGAAAGCGCATCAGTCCCTGCTACTCAACAGAAGTGCTTGCAGTTTTGGTATCACATGTATGGCCCGCATGTTGACACCCTGAATGTGTACACTAAGATAAACCAACAGCTTGGATCGCCGGTCTGGTCAAGAAGCGGAACCCATGGAAACAAGTGGAAGCATGCAACTGTCTCTCTTACTGTCTCCTCGAAATTCAAGGTAAAAGAACAATTGTCTTTTTGTGTTACGGTAACCTCAGTGACATGGGTTGTTTGAGAAATCATTGCTTGATTTGATACAAAGTAGCTAATTCACTTTCTGGCCAAGTAGCCTACATGTCAGAACTTAAGGCAGGTACAGGGTGGTTGTGTCATTCTGAGTTAATTCTTTCACCAAAGGATGCAGATAAGAGAATTATGACCTGGGTACAGTCATTGAAAACACAATTAAGTTAACCCAGGATTTGTGGGAATTTTGATGTAGTTTTGTAACATTTCAGTGACGGTTTGTGTTTTTAGGTTTAGTCTTGTTGCTTATGGGGCAAGCATGACAACGTTATGGTTAGCTTGTCACTTAAATGGCATCCAGACGCCATGATTTCAGACCTTGGCCAGGTTGTTCAAAAGCCAATTAAGACAAATCCAGGATTAAACTCTAGGTTTTATTTGCTACTTTATCACAGCAATTTCATTACTTACGTTAGGTGGAGTTTGAGATCAGTCAAAATCAAAGCAGAAACTAGAAATGCTGTACCTTTCTCAACAGGTGGTCTTTGAAGGCCGTCGTGGCCTCAGTTGGGCTGGCGACATTGCTCTTGATGACATATCCATGCAGGATGGACAATGTCCACCACAACTTCAGTGTTCATTTGAGGACCCTAATCTTTGTGGCTGGAAGAATGTCCATGGTGATAACTTTGACTGGACACGAGCTAATGGTTACACAGCAAGTATAGGAACTGGTCCATCATTTGACCACACAACAGGATCATCAAATGGTGGGTGCTTGCTTCACTCCTCTCACATTAGTTAATTCAGCTTACAACCTTGTAAAGTACTCCAGACTCTTTCTAACTTGTGTCTACCAAGAAACTTAATATTACTCTCAAAAGATAGCAACTCAAAACGAAGGCTAGAATCCATGTAAAGGTTGGGTTTGATTGTAAGCATGGTTGCCAAAGATACCACGTTGTGTCAATAAGTTGTGGTTGCAACCCTCTTTAACGACAACTACTACTTGTTGGTGAAGACTCGAACTTGGCTTTCCTGGCGCCAAGTTTAATATGACTTGCAGCCTTCAGTGTATGTTGATGTACATTTTCACCTTTGTTAACTCTTTAACAATGCTTGATATGAGGAAAAGAGTTCGCAGTGTATGTTAAGTTTGATTTACGATAGTTTTCAGAAACATTGGCTGCATGATTTAAATACAAACTTTTGATGTATTGACCACTATAGAGTGAAGATAGTTCAAATGTTAATAGTCTTTTTATTACATTTTTTTTTCTGAAAAAAAGGACATATTTTCTTTTTGGATTATAGAAACGCTCCTGAAAGCTGTGAAAATCACTTAATGATATCTCTTATTATATCTCTCAGTTAGTAGGCACGCAGTGATTGGTCAATTTAGCGGGCCGTACTCTACTGTACGGCCCGCTAAATTCAAAAGTTTGTTTTAGTCGCCATGCAAAATGTCTCTTGAAGAAAACTTTGAAACATATTTTAACTAAAAGTACGCCAACGAAGAAAAAGAACAAAACACAGAAACAGATAACCAAAACTTTCGAGTTGGTTTCTTAGAGTTTTTACAGATAGACGAGCACGAAGAGGATAACTCGAGTCAAGAACTAGATTTATTATATGGCTAGCTCCGTGAGCTGGTAAGATGAATCAAATCCTGCGCTGTGATTGGCTACCCGAGCGGGACTACCCGCCGTGTCCCGCAAGAAAAATTTCCACGAAAGCCAGATAATAAATCCTTTATTGACCAAGCTTGTTTGGCCAAGATGGCTGGATATTGGCCTCGTTCTTTTTTTGCGTGTTTATGGACCTCGACTCTGTCTCGGTCCATAAACACGCAAGAAAAGAACTTGGCCAATATCCAGCCATCTTGGCCTCACACTTGGTCAATAACCCATATAACTTCATCGCAGCCGAAAGGTCGTCAAACACAATGAAAAAGACAACGTACGAGTGGAAAAAAAGAAGCTTCAGCTTCCAAGCGATGCCACGTCCTTCTCTCTTCGCATCAGTAAACATCGGCTCGATTTCTGTCTTTAATCTTGCTCAGTCTGCTGACCAAGTGATGCATCTGGCAGCTTACATTGAAACGCCGCAAAACACCAAAAACTGGATTCTAATCGTTGAAAATTTTCCTCATGTTGTTTTCGTTCACACTGATAAAATTAATTAATTCATTTGACGCTGACATTGAACAAAGTTTGCACTTTCTACGTTTTGCCCTTCATAATTCGCGCATTTGAAAATACTCTTGACGACAATGGGAGTTACTTGCAAAACGTTTTATCACTATTCGTTACAGAAAATCTTTGTAAACTTAACTGTTGTAATTATCTTGTCTTATTAGTTTGAAGTTTGAATGAACGTTTTGACGACTCAAGTCACTTTTTGTGGAAACCAATATATTGTCCTCACGTTTAGGATTCGACGTGCGTCAGTCGTCAATGGCTGTTCTGCTTGATTGAAATCTTCTCCATCTCTTTGAGCCCAGAGATATAATAAATATCTTACTAACCTCGTTTTCTCGGTTAGTAAGAGGTATATATTCCCACAGCATTTCTTGTTCTCACAAACTGCTGTTTATGTTCTGTAACTTGAAAAGTGTTCTATTTGGAAAGTCTCTTTCATATGTAATGTTTTTATGACTAATAGCCAGGTTAATGGTAGTAGAAGCATACTTAGTATGATTTATAGATTTTAATGTTAGTCATTAATAAAATGTTATTACACACAGGTTACTACATGTACATTGAAACCTCCTCTCCTCGCTCAAAGGGGCACAAAGCCTGGCTTATAAGCCCTCAGTTCAAATCCACCAATGGAAGATGCCTCCAATTCTGGTACCACATGTATGGCGCAACTATCGGTACATTGAATGTCCTTCTCCTGCAAAACAAAACTCGTTCCTCGCCCATCTGGAGTCTCTCTTCCAACCAAGGCAACATATGGCGAATTGCCCAGGTCACCCTTAAAAGTCCTGCTGACTTCAGTGTAAGTGTTTCATAAACCAAGTGCAATTATTTTAAATGTTTTCCAGTTTACCTGGGGTACTTCCTGGGGTACTTCCCCTTTTTCTGTTACAGGCAGGCAAGCTTAATGTGCATTACGTGTTCGTTACTTGACACTTCCCCCCAAAAATGCAAAATGAGAGCAAAAATACAGCAAAAGGCTTTTCGAGAAGCATCAGTGAATTTTAAGGTTTAAGTGTCTTGATCAGGGATGTAATATATTGGCGGTCTCTGTTTTTCATTCATTCATTCATTCATTCATTCATGAATCAATGAATCAATGAGTCAATGAATCAATGAACCAATGAATCAATGAATCAATCATTCAGTCAGTCAGTCAGTCACTCACTAAATCAATCAATCGATCGATGGATCAATCAATCAATCAATCAATCAATCAATCAATCAATCAACCAATCAATCAATCAATCAATCATTCAATCAAGTGATGTGTACGTTAAGTGGGTTATTTTTACTTTCTGCATTTCTGAAGAGAAAAATATAGAAACAGATAACTCAAATAAATTTTGTGCTTATAGATTGCTCATTTATTAAAATTAGCTATTACTGTTCTTTGTCCATAGGTAATCTTTGAAGGAGTCACAGGCACAAGCTATACAGGAGACATTGCAATTGACGATGTAGAAACCGTTGATGGTACCTGTCCCCTCCCAGGTAGACCAATGATTCAATGTCAATCATGCTTGATCATTCACACTTGTGTTACACCAGTATGTTATTGTTTCACTGCTTGCATCAATTTTACCACCTAGGCTCATTTTAATGAAAGCACAGATATCTCTATGCACCTCCATGCATCTCCATGCATATTGAAGGGTGCACGAGCATTACACAGTCTACCTTCTCGCAATGGACATCCCTGTAATGTGGACGCCTCTTTATTACTGACACTTTCCTTTGGTCTGACAAAAAGACCTTAAATTCTCTACTAAAACCCACCCACTAAATCTCCATCCCAGAGAACTAATTGTATTATTTTCTAATTTCCACACGTGTCTTTGATAAATTAAGGTGAAAGTCCATCGGAAATGTTGAGGTAGAAGTATGAAACTAAAACATGGGAATGTGTGGGAAGAAGAACTCTTTATTAGTCATGACATTATATGATAATTATTTCAGTCACCTTTGATGTTATCAATTACCAGAGTGATACATTGACTTCATTTGTCTGGCAGGTGATTGTGATTTTGAGAATGGATTGTGCACTTGGGTTAACTCACCGAATATTTTGGAAGACGAGTTTGATTGGACAAGGGGTAGTGGTTCAACACCAAGTAATTTTACAGGACCACCAACTGATCACACAACAGGCACAACGAAAGGTTGGCACTTTTCATATATTTTTTTCTTTCTCCTTTCGTTACATCTCTTTTTGATTTCTTCCTGCGAAGTGCAGTGTATGTTGTCAAGAAGATTCTAGCACTGGCCAGCCTACTTTGGCTTTGGTGTTACGTTAAAATGGTAACTAATCTCTAATAAGTACTGGGTGTATCTTTCACCTGCAGTTTGAATGGATAATAATTATATGAAGTAAATATTTGGATTTAACAGGTTTTCGTAACACTTTCAAAGCCAAAATCGAATGAAGCATTGGTGTTCACTTGCTATTGTCTTGTTCATATTGGAAAGTTGCGAGTTTAGTCCAGCCATTGTCACTACGGTTGATTTATGTTATTTATAATCATAACAACTTCATCTCTTTTTGTTTCCACAGGAAACTACATGTTTATTGAGACATCATACCCAAGGAAGTTCCGTGACCGTGCAAGACTAGAAAGTGAAGTCTTCGCTCCAACTCCCAGCAGTGGAAGATGTATGTCATTTTGGTATCACATGCAAGGAGGTCATATTGGGTCCCTGTCAGTGTACATGAGAGTGTATGGACAATCAGAGACAAAGTTATGGTCTGTCTCTCTTGATCAGGGAAATAAGTGGAACTCTGCAGTAGTGCCAATTCTCAGTGGTAATCGCTTCTATCAGGTAAGCTAGCTATAGTAGAGTAGAAAGCGATATGAACGTCAGACATAAACTGTACAAAACTTCAAAAATTAGTGTGAGTGCAGTTTACGATTTACAAAATTCTCTAAAATTTGCATGAGCTTTTGGCAAGTTGGATTTGAGAATTTTCAAATTTCATATCTATTGTAAATCCTTAATTGTTCCAACTTGCTGCAGTGTGATTTGTATTGCAGTGCAAAGAAAAAAATGCACTGGAAAAGAAATCATGGTCAATGATTCCATTACCGCAATGTTAGGTTTCAGAAGAATTTATTCCTTGTCGCCCAGCATTGCTTTCTTTGTAATTTAGCGCAAAACATAGATTATGTGAGGTTTTATCTTGTTTTTATTAAGCAAATTGTTTTGTATCCCATTCAAGGTGTGCAGAAACTGTTTTAAATATGTTCTTTTTATTGTAGATCATTTTTGAAGGGACTCGTGGATCATCGTACCAAGGCGACATTGCTATTGACGACATTTCATTCACGGCAACTGTTGGTAAATGCCTGTTGTCCCCATCTAAGGCAACACCATTCGACTGCAACTTTGAGAGTGGTTTATGTTCCTGGACTCAGGACAGGACTGACCAGTTTGACTGGACAAGACACAGAGGTTCTACTGGTAGTGTTCTAACCGGTCCTAGCATTGATCACACATCAGGCACACGTTAGTATAACATTTGAAATGTATAGATGATATTAGATGATAAATTGTAGTCATACCTGTATTGAGCAGACTCCATTAAGTGGATGGTAGCCAATTTCTACGTTGTTGGTCATTTTGATTGATACTTGTAATTAGATTATAACAGCAAATGTGCCTGCTACTGGAAAATTCAGATGAGTCTCATTTGACAAGATGCTCACCACCATGAAAAGAAGGACTGACTTATCGGTAGCCATCTGTAAAGTTGTGACTTGCTTTCAACACTATGCCAGAGAAATTTGAAAACGCAGTTTTATTTCTACAGTTAGGCCTACTGTCCACACTAATCCGTCACAAAAACGGAGCTTTTCTGATCTAAAATGCCCTTCAAACTGGAGCTCTTGTCGATTTGGACTTGCATCCAGTTGAAGGATTAATTTAGACACATATTCTGCTTGTACGGAATTTTGGGCTGAAAATGTAATCACTAAATTAATATATTGCTGATAAATGGTTGTTATTTGTACAGTTCAAGGTTGGTATATATACATAGAGACATCTTTTCCAAGACGACCTAATGACACTGCTCGTGTCACCAGTCCAACAATAAAAGGCAATGGTTCCAGCAAAGCCATTCACTGTGTGTCATTCTGGTACCACATGTATGGTCCTCATGTTGATGTACTACGTCTATACAAGAAACAGGGCTCCTCCCTTGGGAAACCTCAATGGATGAGACAGGGCGATCAAGGCAATAAGTGGGTACAAGGAGAATACACTTTGGAGCATGTGAATGATGTTCAGGTAAGGAAACTTGTGCCCTTCTTATCTACCTTCCAAGAATTACCTCTGTATTTACCCATAACATGACTTCGTGTTCCCTCATGGCTTAGTCGGTAGAGCACTGGTGATCTAATATGGAAGTTAGGACTTCAAATCCCACCAATATCAATTTTTATTCCTTACCTTGTGTGGTGCCCCATTTGCTTTCCAGGGTTAACGCTCAGAAAGAAATACGTAGGTCGATTTCAAGTACTCTAAACTACTTCAGAGTTAATTCTCTGCACTACTCTGCAGTTTTCGTACTTCTTATGAACACTTTTGCAGATTGTTTTTGAAGCTGTTCGTGGCGTAAGTTACCGTGGTGATATCGCACTTGATGATATTGCTATAAGAGACGGCAGCTGTCCAACATCAGGTACATTTTCTTAAAAATGGAACAGTTTTCAAATGAATGATATTTAGTGTGTAAATGTAACGTAACGTAAGCTAAATTTAAAAGGAAATAGCACCAAAGCAAATAACAAAAAAAAGAAGTCCTTGGGTGAGAACCTAAATACCTTTTTCTCAAATGTGTTCAGTGGTTTCCATGGCTACCATTGTCTTTGCTAAAAGACACAGCTGATTTATTTTACAATATAATGAGTCATACCTGTACTTGGTTTAGATGCTGTGCGTATATTTATAGTTGATTGTAGTGTTCAAAGTTAAACTAAAGTTGGTAACTTCCTACAAGGGTCACAATTAACTGTCACAGAGTAATGCACCGATACTTCTCACCTTAGGAATGTGCAGCTTTGAGGCATCTGACATCTGTGGGTATACACAAGACCATGATACTGATGATTTTAATTGGGTGCGCAGTAGTGGTCCAACTTCTAGCATTAGCACTGGACCAGTGGCAGATCACACATATGGCACTTTGTATGGTAAGTATTGCGTGATTGTTTAGGCCTGAGTGTACTAAGTGGAAATATACCACAAAGTTCCTCCACGTTCAATGGCCGAGGGTTATTGTCTATTACAATATAGACAATAAAATAATAACCTGTAGCGTAATGCAAGATAACTTGGTTTCATAGAACTTTGAACACACTGTAGGGGAAATGAATGTATTCCGTTGTCTTCAAGCAGAAAAATAGGAACCTTTGATCTAAACTGAAATGCTTTTGTAACAGAGAAATCGGCCTCGTTTCCCCAAGGGTGTGCACTTAAATTGACTGTAGAAATGATGCCATTAAGTGCCTAACTTTGCGTTGAAACACTCAATTCCTTGCACTTGAGTTTTGAACATTTTATGGCGTCACTTCCGTAGTCGATAGGAAGGTAGGGCACATAGAATTGGTAGCTACATGTATAAAGGTTGAAACCAGAGCTATAGCAAAGTTAAGTTCCACCCATTATATGTAGTTGTATGGCAAGTTGTTTTTTTGTCATGATTGTCTATCAGTTTCATCCTGAATGCTTGTCAACAAAACTTATCTCTTTGCTTTTTGTAGGCCATTACATGTACACAGAGGTATCTCCCACCAGCTTACAAAAGGGTGCCAAGGCTCGTCTGCTGAGTCCAAGGTACCCAGCTACCCAGGGCTCATGCCTGCAGTTCTGGTACCACATGTACGGCCGTACAATTGGAACACTCAATGTCTATATTAGGGGTTTTTCTTGGTCTCAGACCAAGGTATGGAGCAAGACTGGTAATGATACTAACATCTGGAATGTAGCTCAAGTCAGCATCAGCAGTCGTTATAGATATCAGGTATGTTTCTGGCTGTGGAGTAGCCTGGGTAGCAGGTGTTAAACAGGGGTGGGGGGAGGCAAAGCACGGATAGATGGAACGGGACTGGAAGAAAGGAATTCCTTCCCCTTCTTCCTCCCACTTTTAGCCGCTCTCCCTTCTTCGTCTACGCTTGCAACGCAGGCTAGCTGTGGAGTGGCGTGCTTAACTCATTGACTCCCGAACTTTCCCCTAAAACTGTCATTTAGCACTATGCTTGCCTATTGTAATTACTAATTTATTGTCATCAATAGGATAACAAATAAATAGGTGATTTTTCCCAAGACAGCGCTGCCGCTAAATGACTCTAAGCTTCATTTGAGCATGCAAACTAACAAATTCCCATTTGGTTCTTCTTTTGGGTATCAAATATATCACAAATGTAAACAACAGCCTCCATTTAGCACGAAACGTACGCTCGGACATCTGCTCCAAGAAGTCAACAGAGCAGAGCTCGAGGAAAATTGTGAACTTTGTGGAACAGATAATCATTCAGATCCAATCATTCAGACCCAATATATGTCTAAGGGTAAATATCCAAGCATGTTTTGGTTATGAACTGGTCCATTTGTAGATTTTTTACCAGGGGTGAAGAAAACTCTTGTAATAAAACTTTTTTGCGAGTTTCCAGACTGCATACGTACATCAATTTGGTTGTGGTACAGGGATGAAATAAGACATGTTCACTCTGAATTTTTGTCAAACCTCTGTAATTTCGTATTTCACAAGGTTGTTTTTGAAGGAATTAAAGGAACAAGTTATACCGGTGATATCGCCATTGATGATGTCAAGATAATGAATGGAAGTTGTCCAACACCTGGAGATTGTTCATTTGACGACGGCATGTGCACCTGGACTAACAGCCGAACAGGTGACGTCTTTGACTGGATTATTGGAGGTGGAGGAACACCTAGCTTCTTTACTGGACCTTCCAGTGATCACACCACCGGCAATGGTAGGTTTGCATTTTAACAACAGTCATAACATCGAATTTCTGTTACAGTGATTGTAGTTTTTTCGGTTTATGGTTTTGTTTGTCTTGGTCGTTAAACCTCGTAGAAGTGGTGGTGAATTCAGTATGGTTTTGGGCTCATGTTATGCTTCCTGGATTTTGGTTTAATAACCTTATCAGGAAGTTGTGAAGAACTTTGTCGTGCATCAATGAAACACCGACATGATGGGAACCCTCGATTTTTCGCATTACCTGATTACTTGACGCAATTTTTCCCTGTTCACTTGGGTGGTTTAGAAAATTTATGATTCCTCTACATGCAAATGCTCTCTTACTATATTTTACTGGTAGTTGCATTATATATGATCATTGAATAATGGTCATACCAACAAATTTGAATCTTAACCAGTGACCTTTTCCTTATAACAGTCATTGGACTAAAGATCAACCCACTCACTCTTTCTTGTTTTTTTCTTAATGACACCTTACTCTAACAGCTTCCTCATTATAAAGGCAAGTTGATTGGGTCTTTGCGGTGTATATTGCGTGGCAAAATATTCAACTGTAATTGCATCATGTTGATAGATAGTTTCTTGAACTCTGCATACACACAATGGTATCTTACTGTATAATCCTGTCTTTGTGTAGCTGTGTGATTTAGGTAAAGCCAGCGAACAAGTTCACTCTTTTTTATTGCCCTTATTTGTTGGGAACCTTCAAAAATTTTATATTGTTACGATTTCCGTCGTTATGTTTTGATTTGTTTAAATTTTATATTTGTTTTTGTTTTTGTTTTGTTTTTTTTTCACTTGTAGGTCAGTATATGTTTATTGAGACCTCATCTCCACGCCAGCCAGGAGATAATGCTTACCTGCTCAGCCAGCCATTTGACCCAACTGTTAGTAGTGGAAGATGCTTGAAGTTCTGGCATCATATGAAAGGAGCTTCAATTGGAACTTTGAATGTCTATCTGTACACTGGGAACTTCTCTACAATGTATCTGCTTTGGCAGAGAAAGGGCAACAAAGGTGATAAATGGATGTTTGGACAACTTCCAATACGAAGCAGCGTTAAGTACCAGGTAAAGTACCATTCTTTGAAGCCATTAACCCTTTGAATACCAAACTTTCGCCAAAAAATACCGTTTTTAACCATTTAGTCAGGTTTTTTAGCTGCCATGACGCTATGAGAGCTTTTTTTTACTAATAGGAGAGATTTTTCGAGGATTAGGTACAAAATTGAGAAAAATTTCAATTCCGGGCATGCGCATAAGACAAAATTTGGACTTCTTGCACCAAAACTGATAACGTTGTTTTTCGATTTGCGACGTCGGAATGTCGTCGATATCTAAACCTGACCATTGTGCGGAAAGGGCTAGCCTAGTACTACTATCTGCTTAGCAAGAATATCTGATGACATTTAAATTGATGACGTCACAAGTGGTACAAAGAGCACGACCATTAATTACGCATATATGCGTAGTTGGTATTCAAAGGGTTAACATGTGGTGTCATACACATATCTTGTTTGAGTAATCTTTCTCCTGACCAATCCCATATGGTTGCCAAACGGACATACCATTGAGAGAACCGCATTACACTACACCATGTAAGTGTGCAATCCCATCTTAGAAAACTCACTCGATGCCCTTGACTTCATGCGAGTTAGAATGTTGAAAAATTCTTTCAAATAGGTCGTGTTTGAAGGAATCCGCGGGAACAGTTATGCTGGTGACATAGCTCTAGATGACATCAGCTTCACTGTCAGTGCGGCAAACTGCATATACCAACCATCTGATGCCCTTCCACCTAATATGACAACTGCAGCACCGCCTGTAACCACCACGTCCTCTGTCAGCCCAACCACTATAGGTACGAACGGGTTGTCATGGCTTCCAGTTCACTGTATTTTGTCTTGCAGCTATATAACATAAGAGTTACTTATCTGGCTCTGTATACTTTATTTAAGAAATAGGAAACATTTTCCGTCCTTCTACCGAGTTATAGAAACACAAGTAGAAGTTGGATCTTTTTTGCAACACTTTATGGATCAACAGCCACTTTGACAATATGTTACGATAAGATAAAGTGGAACCCCACCTTACGGCCACCTCGTTCTTACGGCCACTTTATTCTGGCTCGGACAAAACCTCAGTCAGATTTTTTCCTATATTCACTCACATATTGTTACTGTCTGTTGTTTCACTGAGAATGTAGTAATATTACTGAAAGCATAGAAGGCTTACTAAAATAATATACAGCATTCTCGAAAAGTGCAAGGTTTTGATCTTATGGTTGTTTATTTCTTTTTTGTTTATTTAGGAAATCAAGGAAATGACTGTAATTTTGAAGCTGGAATATGTAAGTGGACGTTTGATTCAACTGGAAAATTTAACTGGACTCGTCACAAGGGCTCCACAGGATCGAGTGGGACTGGGCCAAAGTTTGATCATACATTTGGCAATACAGGTTTGTTTTGTTGTTTCACTTTGTTATAACATTAAGGCCATTTATACGAGAAAAATAAGCCGCGACTTACACGTATAAATAGCCCTAATGTCTTGACGTGGCGAGTATACATGAAATGTACATGTGTTTGAAATAGACAAACACAACAAGTTGATAACAGAATTAACTGAGTTCCATCACTTTGCACCTTCTGTCAACTTTGTCTTAGGTGATTATTTAGCTGTGTTGTTTTGGTAGTTTTAAATTTTTGCTACTTGTACCTACTTTCAGGAAAGGGTTGGTACATGTATATCGAGACATCATATCCCCGTAAACCAAATGACACAGCTGGATTAGTCAGCCCTGCCATTCAGAAGTCAGGTTCATCTGCTTGTGTCTTGTTTTGGTATCACATGTTTGGACCACACGTGAATGCACTCAATGTATACATGAAGGTGGGTAACTAAACTCCAGTGATCGTAAAGAAGAATAAAGACATTACGAGCTGTCTCTCAGAGGGTTTAGAAAGAGTCAGAAATTTTGCCTCATATGCTAAGCGAATTAACCAAACAATCCTGGTCAATAGTCTTGGGACACTTTGTACTTTTGCCAACATATGGTCCTTCCGTCTACCTCCCCACCCCCCTCCCCTTCCCCCTCCCACCCCCCAACACACAATGTTGATGTTGATTCACCCAAAGTAGACCTACTATTCCAACATTACTTGGAGAGTGGGGCTCGGAAAATGAAATAATGACTTCCCATTTAAAAATAATGCGTCACCAGTTGGCATTTTGTCAAGTGTCCCAAGGACTTTTGGCTAGGATTGTAGATTTGCCCCTTGCTTTCTTTGGCAATAGCATAGAACGAATAATAAAGTGTATTATCGTTTGTCACACGATGTAGTCACTTTAGATGTAGATCGCTACAGTGACTAAATCGTGTGACAAGCGATAATACACTTTATTATTGCATCTACCACGATGAATAACAACAACCTTTTCCTCGACAACATAGAACGAATTTAACTTTTTGGCCTTCTGCTTAAAACGTTATTGGAATGCTTGGTCTCTGTTGTTTAATTTAATGATAGAACGTTCTTTTCTTCATCGGTGCAATTTGCTTTTATCAGTCAAATGGCAGATGTGAGAAATGACACGATAGATTTATGACTTCTTCGTGTGCCTTTTACATAGTTTTGTCGTTTGTCAGGAAATGTAACCTATGGTATGTTATGCTACAGGGAAAAGTCTTAGAGACTAAAATGTGATAACTTTCGTTTTTCAGGATGGAGGCCAGGTAAAGACTTTGATGTGGCAAAAAATAGGTTCTCAAGCTGACGAGTGGAAACAAGGACTTGTCCAGCTGTCTCCGAGTCAAAGTTCTTACCAAGTAAGGAAACAAAGTGTACCAAGGGAACCTATAGCCTGCGAACACCCACGTATTTCTGGCTGTCACTTAGTTCCGCCGAAAATAGCGGAACCAAGTGACAGCCGGAAATACGTCTGCGTTCGCAGGCTAGGGAACCTGAGGATTAGCTGTTTTTTTTTTGTTTTTTTTTTTTCGCTTTGGTTTGATGTTATCAGATAGTTAAGAATTTTTTTTTCGCTTTGGTTTGATGTTAAGAGATAGTTAAGAAGCAGGTTTCTATGATTGTACAATTTATGACTGCCATGTTGGGCTTCTGATTCTCAATATTTGTTACAGAATATGTTCAGCGGTGGTTATTTAACTAGACTTAAATGGTGAAAACTGTATTCATTCATAGCTGCAATCAATCTCTAGTTTTCCTGACTGAATTTTTTTTACATATTTTGCTGAAAGGTTATCTTTGAGGGAGTGCGTGGCTCAAGTTACCAAGGCGACATCTCATTGGACGATATATCTTTCCAGAACAATCAATGTCCACCTTCTAGTAAGCCCTATTCTTGTTCTTTTAACAAAAGGAGCTACAGGAATATATAAGAAATGTGTGGTCATGCTTAAGTTTGATAATTAATTTGCTGATTGGTCAGTTACATCACAATTTAGGTGAAAAATCACGTGATTGTCTTTAGATGTCAGTCGACATATTTGTGATTCGTTCTTGTGATGACACTTTAACTGGTGGAAACAAAAGGAAGCTGCAGAATATAAGCATTTGAAACTCAATTCTCAGTTTGTGAGACACTGGAAACAAAAAAACCCAGTCACGTCTTTTTGTATATGAAACATCAGCAAAGTTGCTCTGCAAAACTATTTCTAAGTGCAATGATCTAGTATAAATTTAGTGGCATGGTTTTTAGTGAAAAATGTTAGGTATTTTGTAAATAGTATTTTATTGCTTTATTGCTTTTTAAATGGTTACATAAAAGTAGTACTAGTGATTAAGGCTTACTAATTATAACAAGGCAATTTGTTTTGTTCAGCCCACATGATTAGCACTTAAGGTTACAAGTTAACTTTCATATTCCTGTCAAGCTCTAACATAAGACTGTTTTGACAGCTGAATGTACCTTTGAGTACTTTGTGGGCTCACAGTCATCTGTGTGTGGCTGGAATCAAGATCACTCTGGTGCTGATAACTTTGACTGGACTCGCGCTAGTGGTTCCACTGCTAGTTATCAAACAGGACCATCATTTGACCATACCTATGGAACAAAACAAGGTACTCCAAATATTCCATTAATACCGTAACTTCCGTAAGTAACGACCCCCGGAAAGTAACGTTAAAAAGTTTTGGCCGCTGGTGAATTCCGAGTGAAGCAACCCTCCCCGCCTCCCAACGAAAGAAATGGACCCCCTTCCCGAAAGCAGCAACCTTCCTGACCTTCCCAGCGATTATTCACTTCATGCAATATAGTGGTGAAGATAAAACGAACAAATGGCAGCAAACGGGATGCTATTACAGTGCGCCATGTGCCTGATAGCTTAGTAAAAATTCTGCACAAGCCATTGCTCAGGGCTCGAAAAAAGTGCCGTCCCATTGCCCCGGACAAGTAGATTTTCCTTCTGGGCAAGTAACTTTACATTCTCACTTGCCCAATGGGCAAGAGACCAAGCAAGTCATCTGCCAACTAAATCATTAAAAGGGCAAACTAAGACTTGCCATGGGCAAGCAAAATTTGAGAGATACTTGTCCCAAGGGCAAGTTGGAATTCAAGTTTTTTTCGAGCCCTGTTGCTGCAAAATAATATCAAGACGTGATGCCGCATTCCGGTCAAAGCAGGCCTGAGGGTGTGTGGGTGGCTGTGTGTACAGTTAAAGAAATTGCTAGTGCAAAGATATAAAATATTATATTAAGATTTTTCACGTGAATTGATTTGTTGTGCTTATTTTGAAGGGTTCTATATGTACATCGAGACATCTTATCCAAGGAAAAAGGGAGACAAAGCAAGGTTTATAAGTCCAAGGCATGCTCCTGTGAAGGGAGGGCAGTGCTTCCAGTTCTGGTACCACATGTATGGCCAAGACATTGGACAATTGAATGTTTACATCAAAACAGGAGTAAATCTGAGCAATCCACTGTGGATAAGGTCTGGCAACCGTGGAAATGTTTGGAAAATTACCCAGATCTCCATTACCACCAGCTCCAGTTTTAATGTATGTGCTCAGTTTTGACTTGTTTGTAATGAAATGGTTTTGCTTTTCTTCAGGAACAACTCATCAAGAAACACAGTAAGTCTCGTTAAGTTAGAATGTATGTTTTTTATTTTCTCGGCAGATTGTCTTCGAAGGTGTTGTTGGGAAAAGCTATCAAGGAGATATCGCCATTGATGATCTCAAGTTAATCAAGAGTCCATGCCCATATCCAGGTGACTATATTGTTTTTATTTTAACCTTAATGAGTCGGTTTATCACATTCCTTCCGATGTGGTCAGTGAAAAATTACACAGCACTCCTTTAGAGAAGAAGAGACTGTACTTAAGGGCCCTAGTCAGCCACACCTTTGTTTTTGTTTACATGCAAGAATTTGGCTATTATACTTTTTTCAGAGCATGTCAAAACGAAGGAAATCACTCTGAAATCGCTTAAGATAATTAAACATACTTCCAGGAACATATACTACAGTAAATCAACAAGATTTCGCTTCACCATGCAATGTCAATAATTTCGATGGCATCGCAACTGCTGGAGGCTGACTAGGGGCCCGTAAGGTCATGAAACCAATATTTAGATACAAGGTCAAGTCAAGGCCCTGATGACTTAAAACTCAACCTTTGCTGTATAGTCCAAAGTTAGTAAATTCACATGTGCGATTGTTTTTCTTCACTGAAATCTGTGATGGCGGAAGAAAGGTTAATGTTCCTGTGGAAAGAATTAGAACAGAAAGTTAATGAGATGGATGGCAGTAATTGGTTTTATGTTATAATTTGTTTTCTGATCTTTCAAGGGGACTGTGATTTTGAGAGTGGAATGTGCACCTATAGCAATACTCAAGCTGAAGACCAGTTTGACTGGTTAAGGAATGCAGGAACTACACCAAGCTGGCAGACAGGACCAAAGGTTGATCATACTCTAGGAAATGGTTTAGGTAAATTGTCAAGTTGATTGATTCCGTCTTTTGTTCGTATGTGACTCTCACTCGTGCTTAAGTACACTAGTAATTTATTGATACGAGTGAAAATATGAAAGAGTTTTATCTGAACTGCAGGGAAAGATGTAAAAGATGAATTATCATCGCAGTAATGTACACAACGTGAATGTGAAGTTAAAGCCTGAAAAAAAAATTAGGCTGAACAGGATTCGAACCCAAGTAGTCATCACCTCTGCTATACTGGAACCTAAACAGCCTGATTTTTTGCAGGCTTTGTGAATATAGGGGTTCTTATAAGCGGACTTTTACTATTATCAACTATAAGTCTGTAAAGTAAGTTATAAACGATTGGAATATGCAGCCAATCAAACAAATTCGGAAGGTTTCAGGAGATCTGTTGGGCGACCACGCACCGTTTACAAGGGTCTTCACGATTCGCCAAACGAAACAATGGGTATACAACACAAACAATGCCCCTAGCCCTAAAAACAAAAGAGGTGCAGATTAACAAGAGCGAATCAAAATAGAAGTTTTAAAGAGCTGCAGGTCATCTGGATCTGTTCAATCTTTTGGGTATCCTGTAGTATTCAAAGATGCCCGATGGCATTGGGTAGATTATTATCGACAGATTATGTTGTTTTCACAGAAGGTAAATGTTTGTGTTTCAGGTCATTACATGTACATTGAAACATCCGCACCACGCAAGCAAGGTGATAAGGCCCGTCTTCTCAGTGAAGATTTTGGACCAACCACAATCCAGGGAAGATGTGTGAAGTTCTGGTATCACATGTATGGTGCCACGATTGGCACGCTTAGAATTCTGGTCAAGACAGGCCCAGGAAACCAATCAGAAACTGCCATTTGGGAGCTTAGTGGAAACTTTGGCAACCAGTGGTATAGTGGCCAGGCCCCTGTGACGAGTGGAGTTATGTACCAGGTAACACATTAAAAAGGAAACGCCGTTACTGTTCTGTTAATTTCTCTGTATCTAAAAATTATTTATCTTCTGCTACAGGTTGTATTTGAAGCCGTTCGTGGAAAAAGCGTCAGTGGTGACATTGCAATTGATGATATTACATTTGTGACATCTAAGTGCTCTGTTGTACCATCTTTAGCAATACCACCCACACCCCCTCCCACAACACCTCCGCCAATCATTAACAACTGCACTTTTGAAGGAGGATTCTGCTCTTGGACAAACCTCAAAGGCGACAACTTTGATTGGACAAGAAGTAGAGGTGGAACAGCGTCATGGAGCACTGGACCAACTGTCGACCACACCCTAGGAACTGCAAAAGGTACACTTTATTAATGACCTACAATGTATAAGTTATGCGTGCACTGAGATTCTGGTTGCAATTGAAAAAGTCGGACAGCCTTTTTCAACTTCTGGCCGTGCATCTCAGGAAAATCACAAAACCTAAGTAGGATTTGCTATCCCTTTGGCAATCCACTCGGTTCTCTAAGCTCATTTTGGGTGTAAGTGAAAGTACCATGCCATATTTTAAGCACCGCTTTGTGTAGAAATGCAGTAAAATATCTGGTATAGTATTTAAACCATAGTATGATTATTTGTACTTCTCACATTTCTCTTCAGGTTACTACGTATACATTGAAACATCTTCACCCCGTAAGTTCAAGGACAAGGCTAGGCTTAGAAGTGGGCTGATCCAACCAACAACTGTCACCAATGGAAGGTGCTTAAAGTTTTGGTTCCACATGTGGGGTGACCATGTAGACACACTGAATGTCTACCGCAAAGTTGGTTCTTCACAATCGAGGTGAGCCATTAAGACTTAAAAGACTCAAGCTCTTTATGATGTGCATTATTACATGTTATGTACTTATATTGGAGTTAAAGAAGTGCGTTAGAGTTTGATTAATTACACGCGGTTAATCGTAGTGTATTTTCTAACAATTGACAAACTTTGCACGAGGTTGAGCGTATATAACAGTTACAGTTGTCGAGATTGAGATATATTTTTGCCTAATCTCCCACAACCGTGTAACATACTGCAGTTTTGATTTGATTTAACTGCCAAACAGAGACAGTTCGAGGGGAACAATTTTGCAAAATGTTCTTTAAAAATTGCCTTTGTAGGGAAGTTTTTGTGATCATAGAATAAGGGCCTACAAACTAATAGTTTTATTATTATTATTTTTTTCATTTATATTGGACAGTCTCTGGTCTCGCAAAGGCACACAGGGGAACAAGTGGCGCTACGCTCAAATCAACCTGATCAGTAACCAGCCCTTTTATATCATATTTGAGGGTGTTCGTGGATGGAGCTACAGGGGAGATATTGCCCTTGATGACATTGATGTTGCTGATGGGCCATGTCCGCCTCCACAGGCCTGTGATTTTGAAACTGATACATGCACCTGGCAAAATACAGGTGGAGACCAGTTTGATTGGACACGTGACAGTGGAGGGACACCCTCTTTAGGCACAGGGCCTACCACTGATCACACAACTGGAACAAGAAATGGTTTGTTGTGACTCTAGTTTCAAAATTTTAGTCCATCAAAACAAATTGCTGAAAATCATAGATTCCTGCTGCTATTCCGAGGCGTACTAGGTTGGTCAATTTTTCTGCTCTATATTCCTTCACAGGTTACTACATGTACATTGAGACATCTTTACCACGCAAACTAAATGACAAAGCATGGTTCCTTAGTCCTCAATATCCTGCAGCTCCAAATGGCAAATGCTTAAACTTCTGGTATCACATGTCCGGCAGCCACATTGGTACAATGAATGTTTATATCAAAGATGGTTTAACCATCGGTACCAAGGTGTGGAATGAGACTGGCGATCAAGGCAATTTCTGGCTGCATGCCAGAGCCCCCATCAAAATAAATAATAAATTCCGGGTACGGTTTGTGATTCATGCTGTTGTTTCCTTTTTGTGTTATTCAGTATGCTCATGTGCCATGTGTTACTGGTTTTCAACATATCTTCTTTTTCCTAAAGATTGTAATTGAAGGAATCAGAGGACAGAGCTACAAAGGTGACATTGCCATTGACGACTTGAGGATTGATGACAGCCCGTGTCCGCCAGAAGGTCACTTTTTTTTTTCGCTTGACTTTGCATTATCGGTTTCTGAACTGATTTTTTTTTTTTAAATACTGTTAAGGTTCGTATTTTATAACTGTAACGTTAACCGTTATTTTATAAACACAGGAAGTTGCGACTTCGAACAAAAAAGTTTCTGCACCTGGCTCAATGTACCCAACGGAAACAGATCAGTGGGTCTGGATGATTTTGATTGGACACTGGGAAGTGGGTCAACACCAAGCTTTCGAACGGGACCATCAAGTGACCATACTACAGGAACAGCTGTGGGTAAGTTAGAAAAAAACGTCTACTAATGTTGGCAGTGTGAAAATGTAATTTCTCTTGCAGTAACTGCTGAACAATGTTGCCACCGGATTCAGTTTTGGTGAAATTGGATGCAAAGTGGATGCTTGTTGTTGTAGTCATTTACTTGTGTGGTGAAAAAAAGGACAATGATGAGTAAAACTCATTCAATTAATTATTAGCACCTTTCGTGACATTTGTTTAAGCATATGTGGTGCCATATCTAAGGTTCAGTGGTAAATTAATTTGAAAATTTATTCTTACAGTTGAATTTTTTGTCCTCCATTCTTGTAAGGAACGTACGCATTTATTGAAACATCAAGTCCACGGAACAACGGTGAAGTTGCTAGGCTGAGAAGTCGAATATTTTCTTCCACAACTGGGAAATGCATGTCATGGTGGTTCCACATGTATGGTGCTACTGTTGCAAACCTGAACGTCTACATGAAGCAAGTTGGCAAGCCAGAATCCTTGGTTTGGAACCTCAATGGCTCACAGGTGTATTTGATTTCCACGTATTCTTAGGATGGAAAATGTTTACTTAGTTATACTATTAGAGCAGTTATAAGTAAATCACATTTGCTAAAACTCGCATATTTTTCTGTTGCAGGGCAATGTCTGGAAAAAAGCAGAAGTAACGATTACCAGCAGAACCAACTATCAAATGATTTTTGAAGGTGTCACTGGAAAAGACTACCGCAGCGACATTGCAATAGATGATATTTTGTTCTCTGATGGCTACTGTGTAGGACTGTGTTCCTCTGTGAATGCATACAAACGAGTTGACTGTGGCTATGTGGGAATCAGTAAGGCTACATGCGTGGGTCTGAGAAGATGTTGTTGGGATGACTCTGTTCCAAATGTTCCGTACTGCTTTTATCATCCCAGTGCATGCAAGAGCATCAATTCAGCCAAAAGGTATAATCTACGCTAGTTTCATTTAGGTTTCAGACGATTGGAAGTTGTTGTCGTGTGTATGAACTGTTCTTGTGGCATATTAACACCTTTTAGTTACATATGTGGTATGGATCAAGTTTTTCCCTTTTAGTTTGAAGTTTGTATGGGAAGTAAAAATAGGGCGGTGACAAGAAACAGTTTGCAGCTTACTGTACGGCTTGGGAAAACAGCCTTAATTTGTTTATTACAATCATTCCAGTATAATGAACCTGCATGAATAAGGGAACCTTTTAAGTGAAATTGGCCAATGACCATGCAGCAACAGCAAGAGCTAAAAAGCATTAGTAGATGTACGTTGACATGCATATTCAATTGACAGTCTTTAGAGACATGCTTTCTTTTGTGAACGTCAACTGAGTGACATACCAGCGATGTAAATTGGACAATCTTATGATAAGTTGAAACGTTAGACCAGCGCTTTCCTAATAGAAATACTCTTTTTCACTTTGCTATCTGGTATTAATTCCCATTTTTTTCATGGCTTCACCTTTCAGGCAAGACTGTGGCTTCCTCGGAATCACTTCTGTTCAGTGCCAGTCTCGTGGATGTTGTTGGGACAATTCTGTTCCTAATGTCCCTTGGTGCTTCCATGGACCTACTAGGCCAACACCCTTCCCCACCACACCAGCTCCGCCAACTACACTGCCTCCAACCAAATGGGACTGCACATTTGAGCAAGACTTTTGCAACTGGAACAACTCCAAGGAAGATGACTTTAATTGGAATAGGCAGTCTGGTAATTCACCATCAAGTGGGACCGGTCCATCCTCTGACCACACAACTGGAAGTCAAAAAGGTCAACACATTAATCAGATTATCTAAAGTAATCCTCTAAGAAGGTTTTTTCCCCATAAGGTATTGACCTTACCTAGCGCTACGATCAGCACAAAGCAACTTGTCTTTTTAACTCGTCTCTTCCCTGCAGTGTTTTAACGAGGGAGCAAGTTGGTGCAACAAGTTACCTTATGTGTGTAGAGGGCAAGTCAAGAGGTTGAAGCACAAACGAACGATTTCTTTTACTTTAGTCCCTTGCTTGAAACATGTTATAATTTGCATATTTCAAAATTGGCTTGTTCGTGCCGCAATTTACAGAGAATTCACATGTCCATGCACATTGCAAGATTTTTTGGCAAGAAAGGGCACTTGACATGGCATAGCTGGTGTAGTTAAAACCATATAGCCAAGAGTATTGTCTACGTTAAATAAAGTTATGTTCAGTATTGCATTGCATTCTATTTTAAAGGACAAGTCTCCTCGGATGTGCCAACCTTTTCATAAACCTATTTTGTTTTGTACAGGTTTTTACGTGTACATTGAGACCTCTGGGCAGTCTCCTAATGACACCGCTGTCCTGTATAGTCCAGCAGTTCCTACAACATCGGGAAAACCCAACAACATGGTTTGTTTGCAGTTCTGGTATCACATGTATGGACAGCATGTAGACACGTTGAATTTGTTTATGAAACGAGGGCAGCAACTTCCTCCATCACCAATCTGGACTAAAAGTGGAACCCAGGGTAACAGGTGGAGACTTGGGCAGATTGCTGTGACAAGTACAACTCCATTCCAGGTGTGCTAGTAAGGTTATGATAGTGTCTCTGCAAAGAATATAAGGTTTGTGCACTCGCTCGCCAAAGTTTTTATGGCTGCTTGCCTCGTTAAAAGTTAGTTTTAGCATATAGTAAAACCCTAAAACCCTAAAAACCTTAAGCGTGTTTAGACAATTTAGCAAGGTGTATTTTTAACTTTTTCTTTGTTGTTGTTCTTATTTGTTGAAACTTTTATCATGTAAATTATTATTTTCATCAATGGTTTTATTCTTAGTTTTAGAGGACCCTTTTGTAAATCACTAGCTCATAGTGAAGTCGGCATCCTCAATAAGATTATTATCATTCATCCACATAATGTCAACGTACATGTATGATTACTGTAGAAACACAGGTATGAGATGCTTGCACTTACAGCTCTATCGTACAGGACTAATTTCTGTCAATAAAGGCTGACTCGCATTTTGTTTCTGCAGTTTGCCTTCCAAGGTACACGAGGAGTAAGTTACCAAGGTGACATTGCGCTAGATGATATCCGGCTGTTAGATGGTTCCTGCCCTCAATTGCGTAAGCTAAAATCTTTAATGTTTTGTGCTTTAGTATCCTTATGGTAGTTATTGTAAGATCCTGCCTCTCAGAGAATACAAACTAAAGGAAAACTAGATATAATTTATGTTAAGGAATAATCTCACTCTCTAAAAAGAGGTAAGGTTTTTTGGCAGATGTTAATGCGAAAAAGCATGTAGAACAATTTTAGAAAATCGAGGAAAATGTTGTTGTTATTCATCGTGGTAGATGCAATAATAAAGTGTATTATCGTTTGTCTCACGATGTAGTCACTTGAGATGTAGATCGCGGTCTACATCTCAAGTGACTACATTGTGAGACAAACAATAATACACTTTTAATTTTAGAATACTTATAAAGTAATCAAAGTGTCATTAGATTGCTGTTTGTATTGTTTCGGCTGAAACTGAAGACATTTAAATCTGCATATTTTCATAGAGTTTGCTGGAGTTTCTTTCTTGTTGTTGCTGGGTTTTTTTTTGGCTGAGATTAATTTTGTTTTTTGTTTGTTAAAGCTTACTGTGACTTTGAGGATCCCAAAATCTGTGGCTTCACTCAAGATCAGGGAGACATCTTTGACTGGACTAAAGGAAGTGGTAACACCACCTCAATTAAAACAGGGCCGCCTTATGATCACACTTACGGCACTTCTTTTGGTAAGTCAGTACAGCTCCTCGTTTATCAAATGAAGGAAACATTAAAATGTCCTTCCATGTTCAACAATTTATAAAAGAGTCCGATTGTTTTTTTATCGTATTTACTTTTAGTGGTATTCGTGTTGTCCTAGTATGATTTATATGTTAAATAACGTAGGTGTAAGCCTCTAGCATGGTTCGTTCAGGTCATGGAAAACCTGGAAAGTGATGGAATTTAAGTGCGGGTCATGGAAAGTCATGGAAAAGCAATATGCTTTCTGAGAATAAAAAGGCAAAAAGACAAAAAATCGAAGTAAATAACAAATGAGTTTGAAACAGGCTTTGATTTCAGTACAAATAGACACGAGCACGCATTTTATCCATTATAATGCTGGAAAATACGTTAAATAAGTGATTGTTTTAATACTATGAGAATAGCTACTTAACTTTGGTCATGGGAAACTCAGAAAAGTCAAGAAAAAGGTCGTGGAAAGTCATGGAATTTGAAAAGATTACGAGAGTACGAACCCTGCTCTAGATGAATCCTTTGAGCTCTTAAGGCAAACATTTTTTGTGGATTGTGGAGCGAGTAAATCTTGCTGTCAGGCTAGGGGATGCTGTTTTTTAAGAGATTATGCTTGTAAGAATTTTTTTTAGGGGCGAGTGGGAATGACTTTGGGGCTAGTTCGTCATAGTTACACCTTTCCTCGGCTGAACGGCAAGATCTTCATCTGTTATAGGTTAACATTGTTTTGACGTGATAGTGCCCCTTCAGCATAACATTTTTGCCTTCTGCGTGTTGAGTTTCGTTATCCCATTGCAGGACACTACATGTATACTGAGACATCCGCGCCTCGTAAGCCAGGTGACTATGCTCGTCTGGAGTCTCCAGCATATCCCGCAACTGATGGAAATGGAAAATGCCTGGAGTTCTGGTACCACATGTATGGCAGCGGTATTGGCAGATTGAATGTGTACATCAAACGTGGCAACACGCTTGGAAATAAAGTTTGGTTCCAATCCGGTAACCAGGGAAACAAATGGTTGAGAGGAATGATAACAGTACAGAGCCCTAACACGCAGTGGAAGGTGAACAGTTATTAACAAACCTTACAGCAGTAGACCTGTGTACCTTAACAACTCGTGTATTATTACAGAGACATCATTCAGTGATTTTGGCAGGGTGATAGTTTGCGACACTAAATTTCCAGAGGTTTTTGAAACCAATTTACAGTTCTGTACATTTTTATGTTCCAGGTCAGATTTCAGAGGTGAAATTGTAAAGAACATAAATCAACTGAAACAAATAAAGGCACATGCTTTGATTTAATTTTGCTCATACTTAATTCTGCAACATCTTTTGTGGCATCATGAATTGTAAAAAAAAAAAAAAAAAATGCAAAAATTGGTAGTCTACGATGCAGACGGTAACCATATAATGTAATGTCAACATATTGTATATGATTAAACAAGGGTATGTGCGTTGAAAAAGGAGTTCATTTTGCTGTAAGTGTAATGGAATTGTGGAAAGCGGGAGGGATTTTTCCAGTCAATAACTATTGTTTTGTCTTTGTCTGGCCATTCAGGCTGTATTTGAGGGTATTCGAGGGCGTGGATATCGTGGAGACATAGCCATTGATGATACAGTTGTCAAGAATGGTCCTTGCCCACCTCCTGGTTCTTGCGATTTTGAGAAAGGATTATGCGCCTATCAGAATGAATTGGCTGACGACGATTTCGACTGGGAGAGAAATACTGGTCACACTGGAAGTGTTGGAACTGGGCCATCATCTGATCACACAACTGGCTCTGCTGTTGGTAAGAATGTCATTCTGCTTCTGATGGGTCACGTACCTTTAAGGCTGGAACGTGTATTCCCAAATGATTAATAATTCATCAAGTTGAAACAAAAGGAAATCTTGACCGTGACGGTGTTTGGATATGTGATCTTGGCATAGATTTCTTACGATTTTATTTCTTTGTTTTCTTTTTAGTGTATTTCTTTGTTTTCTTTTTAGTGTGTAGTTTAGTTTTTACACTCGAGACAGTGTTTGACTACATTTCCAAACACCTCGAAGCTCGTCAAAAATACTCCGCTACGGGTCGTATTTTCAACTCTCTTCTCGGTGTTTGGAAATGTGGTCAAACAAGGTCTTTCGTGGGTGATACATTACTTCAAATGTCATTTGGAACACGTAATAAATGGTTTTTAAAAGTTAAAGTCTAAATATCAAGATTTGGAAAGTGAGAATTTACAACTTGTGTACCCGCAGGTCACTATATGTACATTGAAGCGTCTTCACCACGAGTGAAAGGAGATGCTGCCAGACTTGTTTCTGATCGATTTAAAGTATCCAATGGCCATAACTGGTGCTTGAACTTCTGGTATCATATGTATGGCAACAGTGTTGGCTCGCTTAAAGTTAAACTCAAGGTTTATCCATTCAACCCCAGTAAACCTTACTATACAACCTTGTGGACGCAACAGCTAAACCATGGAGATGTTTGGTTGATGGAGTACGTGCAGATGAACAGTCCAGACAACTTTGAGGTATGTTAGGGGATGACATCGAGGAAATGCCCCCCCGCCCCCTGTTTCTCTTACGTCTATTACTGTTTACATGTACCTCTTTGACATTTTTGTGTTACATGCAGTGACGGGCAATAGTCATGTTGATTGGCAATCGTTGTTCTAAGGACTTTGCTAAGGATTCTGGGACTTCGGAAAACGGAAACTAGAGTGATACCAAATGCTGAGCTAAAGGCTCCTTCCTCGCCTCCGTTTAATCGTTTACCCTTGTCACTCTTCTTTGTTGAAACTAGGGTAGCCCAATGCTTTATATTCTTCATAAGAAACGGCTTGCAGTTCCTGACTATATGATGGAAAGTTGTAGTTTGAATAGCTCGAAACACACGGCACTAGATTTTTCAAATATGAGTTTATTTGTCCTACATTCAGTAGGTAAAGAAAATATGGTAGTTCATATTGAGTTACGACTACAAAAATATGGAATAGTTTACCAATTAGACTTATACTTAGACTTATATCACAATCATTTACCCGAGAAAATCACTGCAACACTTTCCAGAGCGCAAGTTAAATTGGCTGCTTCACTCAAATTAGTCTTGTCTTAGTTCGTGCCATTAGCTACTGTATAACTGGAATGAGAACCTCTTGCCTTTTCTCTTTTACCCCCTTTCAAAGTAGCTAGAAATTAAAAAAAAATCCTTTGTGGACTTGATTCAGCTTTTGGACTAATCTATTAATATATTGGTATATTGCAGATTGTGTTTGAAGCTACAGTGGGCGCATCATACGATGGTGATATAGCTATTGACGATATTGTTGTGACATCAGGAGTTTGTCCAAGTAAGTAACAGTGGCATTACTGTGGGTCGAGTCAGACGTTTGCTGCATGCAGCCAACACCAAACCTCATGTTGTGTCCTTTAGCGTGTAATGAAAAAAAAGTCCTTTGGGGTCTTGGTATAGCCTGGTAAGCTTGGTACAGATTTCCCCAATTAGTAGTTAATACTAAATACGTTTGCACTTCAATAAAGCTGTTATTATTATATTTTTTTAATTAATAAGTGCAATTAAAGTTTCATTTTGTCACAGATCACTCAGATATGGAAACAGAAACCTGTCACATTTGCTTGGGTCTAGCCCGAGATGGTTTTCGTGATGGCTAGGCATCCTGTCTAGGGAAAACGTTACACAACTTAATCAAACTTATTTTCACAACTTTCAATATATTTTTGCAACTTGAAACTCGTGTATCACATGATACACCTAACAGTTTTTATTAAATTACGGTTCTCTCCTTTTCTCTCCTCTTCTTTTTGTTCACTTGTTGAACACCAGTGAACAGTTTACTCTTACTCACTTAGTCAGTCCTGTGGAAGCTTGAGGTACCACTAAGTCAGCCTGTCATGTGGGCAATACAGGTGTAGTTCAAGTAGTTAATGCTTTTCCCTTCTGTGCTTTTAGCTCCTACACCCACTCCTTCACCCAACCCATGTGCTCTGAAATGCAAGTCTGGTACATGCGTGAGTTCAACCAAGGTCTGTGACTTCGTCAATGACTGTGGGTCAGGGGACAACAGTGATGAACAGAACTGTGGAGACTGTACATTTGAACAAGGTGAGAAGCCTCTGAATTAAGACAATAATATTTCTATCTTATTTACCAATGGACGGTGTTAAGAAACACGTGATATTGATGCACTGTAGAAAAGCAAGGTATTTGTCTGTCTGTTTGCATCACATTCTTCTTAAGAAGTCTATGGTAAGCTGCAGGAAGCTGGGAAATATGTATGACTGAATCCGTGAGACATTAATTTCACGAAGAATGCTCTGTAAAATGACGCGTTCTAAATGGTATTTGTTTTGGTCTTTCAAGGACTCTGTGGATGGAATGACACCAGCAAAGGTGCATATGATTGGAATAGAGATCGTGGAGGAACGCCGTCCAGTAACACAGGGCCAAGTGCGGATCACACACTAGGTAATCAACATTATTTTTTTGTCAGGTATCAGCTATTTACAAAGTCAACCATATTGCAAGCTGTTTTCGTCTGATATAACATAATTCTGCACAAAACAACAGCGGTGTCTGAGCACGGTAACCAAGTGCAACCATTTTGCCGCCTTAAACGATAGTATTCTGTGATTTACATAACAGGTGAAATGGGGAAACTGATAAAAGATAAGATAAGATAAGAACTTAATTAACGTGTCGAAATCGCCAGCATACGATGTATGCTAATGTTTAGCGGGTTAGATGCTCAGTTCGCGCCAGTACCAAGAATTACATAAGCCAGCCTATGAAGAAATCATTACTATTACTCGAAACTAGAGAACTGTACAAGCACGTGTTTCTAAAATGCCACTAACAGTTGATCATTTTTAATATATGTTTTTCCTAGCTGAATTGTTCATTTTACATAACAAGCAATGTGATTGCTTTCAGGCACTGCTCTTGGATACTATGTGTATGTAGAAGCCTCTCAAGGAAGTTCATGGGATCTAGCCACGTTTGAGAGTACTTGGTTGAAACAGTCTTCATCAACCTGCGTTGTTAGCTTCTGGTACCACATGTATGGTACTGGAATTGGAAGTCTGTATGGTTACGTCAAAGTTGGGCAGATTTACAGCAGATTGTTTGAAGAAGATGGTAACAAAGGTAAGGCAAATAAAATTCGGATGTCTCTGTTTTGTCTGCTGGTGAAACTTTGACAAAATGTGGGAGAATGAAGAGTGAGATTTGACGAAATTCGTTAGCATTTGTTTTGCACAGTACTGTACAGGATCATGCACTTTACGCTTCCAGGAGCTTGGTGTGAAAATGTTATGCACATTCATGATTGTTATATAGCTGAAATTTTTTCTTTACAGCACGCGCTTTCGTTATTTACTTTGAGGCCACTTGGCATTTAAAAAATAAAACTGTTTCCCGCTAAAGTTCTCTGAGCGGGCAACATTGCAAAGTTGACGTACATTACTCACTGTTGCTCACGAATGCTGACCGACAACTGCCGTTGAACATGAATTCTTTTAATGTTTTCGTTGTGCAGCCAGTTAATTTTGTTTCCCTCAAACTTCAATGTTTCCCTTGGCTGCGCTTAGGGTAAGATCAAGATGAACTGTTTTCCTCAAGGCCAGGTATTAAGTGTTAATTATTTATTTAGTTCTTGTTGATAGAAGGCACAATGTTTTTTGCTATGCCATTGTTAGATTTTAACAGTTCCAATTTAGGTAGTCATGTAACAAAGAGAAGGCTAACTGAGGTTCTGTTATTTTCCCAGGCAAAAAGTGGCTGCAAGGAAAACTATATGTGGGTCGTCATGCTACACCCTTTAAAGTCATCTTCGAGGCAGAGAGGAGTTATAACGTATTTGGTGACATTGCCATTGATGATATAAGCTTTGTAAACTGCACCCTCCCACCAGTTGTCGGTAACTGTAAAAGAGGCCAGCATCGCTGCGCTAGAGGCTCGTGTATTGATCCTTCACGCCTTTGTGATTATACTGATGACTGTGGAGATAATTCAGACGAACTGAACTGTTACAGCTACAACTATAGGTAGTGTCTGAATGTGGTGTAATACTTTATGGTTTAAGTATTTAGTCTTAATTTTTTTGGATTTACGTTTTTGTTACTTTTATTTCTGTACAGATGTACTTTTGAGCGATCGTTATGTCAATGGAATCAATTACCTGATGATGATTTTGACTGGACTAGAAACCAAGGATCAACAGGTTCATATGGGACAGGACCCATGTTTGACCACACCTTGGGCAGCTCAGCTGGTAATCTATTAATTGTGTGAGCTTGGTTGTTAAAACCAGATTAACATTTTATCCTTTAACTAAAGTCATTTTAAATTAGTGGCCCGAGAATTGTATCCACTTTTCTTCAGCTCCAATATGTTCACTAGGAAAGTTCTCTTCTGACTCTCTGCTTTGCTGTCTAGGATATTACTTGTACTCGGAAGCCTCTTGGCCGCGTAAAAAAGGCGACAAGGCTCGACTGGCCAGTGGGTTTATAAGCAGTCTACCTCAGGGTGACACCTCCTGCAGGCTTCGGTTCTACTTCCACATGTTTGGACCAGATATTGGCTCATTAAATGTTTACACTCGGCCATGTAATGGTTGTGCTGAGACTCTTGTGTACTCAAGATCAGGAAACGTGGGCAACTTCTGGGATCGAGCTGAGGTTATTCTTAAGAGTACCGTGCCATTCCAGGTATGAACATTGTCTGTTCTAGTAATACGTGTGAAAATGCTCGAGATCATTAGTAGCTAAGAACATCCTCGAAGCGGAGAATTTTTTAAAAAAAAGTGTTGAAATGTTTTTGTTTATAGTGGTCAAAGCGCTTAGCTGTACCAAGCTAGTTCATAGGCGTGCCACTTGATCTGAATGAAACAAATATATCAACTAAAATAACCAAATGGCGGGAGGCAGACCAGTCGGCCTTATTAAAGCATGACCGAGGAGTTGAACTGGGGTCTACCGAGAAACAACTCCAGCTTAGCGGTCAGAGCGGGACTTGACCCGCGACCTCCGGATTTCAAGTCCGGCGCCCTAACCACTCGGCCATGCTGCCTCCCCTGTACTTACCCTGTAATTAGTAACGTATGTTGGATTGGGCGCCCACACGGCAATTTGTGTTTCTAAATTCAAGTACACCAAGCTAAGTTTGGTAAATTATTTTGATGTTACAGGTTGTTATTGAAAGTGTCCGCGGTTCTAGCTACCAAGGAGATATTTCCATCGATGACTTATCCATGACGCAGTTCTGTCGATCATACAGTGGACCGATCCCGACTCCTCCTCCTCCCACTACACCGGGTCCAACTACTCCAGCATGTCCCGGATTTAGATTCAAGTGCTCCAGTGGCCGGTGTATTGACCGGGGAAATGTTTGTAACTACAAAGATGATTGTGGAGATGGTTCTGATGAAGCCAACTGTGGTATGCAACAAGCAAGCTATAGTTAAAAGTCCATATACATGTATTATAGTAGCAAATGGAATATCATCACGTTTTAATTCTGCTTAGGTTGTGACTATGGCTTATAATGATTTCATATGTAACAGACATTGCCCGTGCATCCTTGTTCTGCCTGTTTGGCGCATAAAAGCTTTTAACCTGGTGGTTAAACAAGTGTATCAATGCTCTTCACATTACACAAATCATACTACTGATGCAATGAATTGAGTAGCTTTGACATCAGTCCTTCAAATTTGCACCGTCGCTGTAGGCCGACTCTACTTGTCACAGGCGCTCTTACTTGGTTAAGTTATAATGTCAGTTGTAATGAAATGCTCAATTGCTTTTCTCAAGGTGCCTGCTCATTTGAACCTGGTCTGTGTGGTTGGAAAGACACCAGCTTAGGTGCATACAAGTGGGACAGAAACAAGGGTACCACCATTGTCGCAGGGACTGGACCCAGTGTCGACCACACATGTGGCAATGCCTCTTGTAAGCAATCAAATTATTACGTCTTTTTTTATAGATTCTGTCTTGTTCAATCCACTGAATCAACTCTTGAGTCTGTACATCATGCTCCTTGTGTATCTGATGTTACTCCGTCAAATTCGTTCAGGTGATAAGCTTAAAGGGTTCAAGGCCTTTTGAATACGATTTTCAAGAATTAATTAGGTAAACTGTGATATTCAAAAGGTGCCTAATTATTGTTTCACTGCTGTCAATTGTAATTACACGTACGGTCGACAAGTACCAGTAGTAATTTGCTTTTGGTTTTAATTAACGCTCTGTGTTCAAATTGAAGGTTACTATGCATATGTCCACTCTGGTGCTGGTTCGTTTTTTGCTGATGCAACTTTACAAAGTCCTAACATGACCAGAACAGGAGCAGGTTGCATTGTGAGCTTTTACTATCACATGTACACTGCAAGCGGCAGTGCCTGGACGGGAACACTCTACCTGAAACTTAAATACAAAGGATCAACATCCAACCTGTTTGAAGTCTCTGGCAACAAAGGAAACCAATGGAACAAAGCAGAAGTTGGATTGGGTCATCTGGATAAAGGCAAGTTAATTTGCACATAATCGTGCACTTCTTGAGCATTTTGTCTCTAAAAGTGTGGGGAGTTTACACAGGTTTGCTGTCAGTTATAAACAATTTAAGTGTTTTGGTCAATGAAGAGAAGATGGTGTTAATGGAAAAGAACCACAGTCGAGCGAGGGCTGAAAGGGGAAATGCCTATTTGTCTGACTTTGTAAATGTTAGCAACAACAATGGAAGTAATTTGTATCGTACTTGTGTTAAGTTGTTGTATAATTAAAGCACTCTTTCCTGTTTGAAAGTGATAAATGCTTGCTTGACTGTTTCCTTTCACTTATTCTGGTGTGAAGTTGCCATGTTACAGAATAACATTATCCACTTATTTGTTTTAGATTTTAGTCTTCAATTTGTTGCATCCAAATTCCTCCAAGCTGCAGACATGGCTATTGATGACATCACATTCCCAGGCTGTGCATTAGCACCCATTAGACCATGCAACTCAGGGGAGTACCGCTGTACCAGAGGATCGTGTGTCAAACCAAACCAGGTGTTGCATTGTTAATTCTAGTTACCTTACAGTTGAACAATTGTTATTTATTTTATGAATTGCCAGGCTTTTTTATGAGTTACTCGCAGTCAAAGGTGTCTTTTCAGATCCCTTTTGACCAAATTTTCCCCATCTGGCCACCGTTATTCTCAGTTTTGGTAATCTAGCCGTATGGTTCACTTGATAAGTAATATCAGTTACTGTTTACCTCATGATGGTTGCATTTGACTTTTAATTCCAGGATGAAATACATACACCACACAATTTTGCACGTATTACAGCATGCATATTATGAATGAAGCTAAGATTGAAGAAATACTCATACCTTGAATACAGCCTTACTAAGTCTGAAATTAACTTCTAAGGTTTGTGACTTCTCTGATGATTGTGGTGACGAGAGTGATGAACTACCTGCCACTTGTGCCAAGTATAAAGAAAGATGCAACTTTGAAAAAGATTTGTGTACTTGGACGCAAGACACTGATGACATCTTTGACTGGACAAGAGACAGCGGCGGCACATCATCATGGCTGACAGGACCAGGAAGAGATCATACCACAGGTCAGACTCAATCTTAAAGCTTTAATTGTCCTTGTTTATTTTTATTTCCAAGATTTTATTGGTACACGAAGACCTTGTACACGTACCTTTTCTAATCTTCCATCAAGTGTTTGCTTGAAATTAGCTAAAACTGGTCTGTTCACCTTACGAGTGAGATGCAGGAGCCATGTAGACTCTGAGAGTAAAACAGTACCTTATTTATCGAGGTTGCATGCATGTGCATTGTGCAACTTAATGTAAATTAAAATGTTGAACCGGAAGTGAAAGGTGCTTGATAGCCTATCTTGATATATTTCTGTCACGCAATGATTATTCAGCGTTATGTTGTTTGGGACTCTCAAAGAGAATAAAAGAACCGACAGGACGACTGGAATGTTCTAGAATCTGGTAAAAATCATTGTTACATGTCCAAGGAAAATTGCACCATTCTTTGATTCGCAGAAAAACTCTGAAGAATATTTCTTGCCAAGCTGGATTTGAAGATACTAAAAAAATGAAATTCTTTTAATGATAGAAACCCTTAGCGCCTGCGTTACATTATAATTATTATATGGCGAAAGCTAATCCAAAAGATTGCTTAAAGCGAAAAACATATACTGATGTCTTCGTACTATTTATTTTCAGGAACTACTAAGGGTTACTATGTGTATATCGAGACTTCATCCCCAAGGAAAGCAAATGAAACTGCTCGCCTGAGCAGCGTTGTTTTCCGCCCCTCTGGGCAGAATGACAGCTGCTACATGCGTTTCTGGTACCACATGTTTGGTAAAGATGTTGATACACTGAGCATCAGGTTTAGGACATCTGTCACAGGACCATTGAGGACCATTTGGAACAGAACAGGTAAAACGGCAATAGCTTTTTCAAACAATAAAAAAAAAAAGACGCTATTCATCTTCAAAGAGAATAACCCTATTTGAATCAACAATTACACCTATAATTCTCACACTTTCACACCTTGCTTCATTTTGTTGTCACTATTCATCGCAGTTAGCATTTTTCTACTTTTATAACTTCAACTTTCAACGCTTTGTACCTCAATCAACTGAAGATCACAGCAGGTTCTGTCGAAACATGTCTTTCAAACTTAAAAGTTTTGTCGTTTTCATTGAATACTTAAAACATCATGATGAATGAGTGACCTCAATATGAAAGAAAGATGTAACCAACAATATTTTCCAAATAATCACGTACTCTTTGATTGGTCTAATGCAGGTGAACAAGGTGACATCTGGAGACGAGCGGAGATCCCTCTGGTTAGCGCAGTAAACTACCAAGTAGTAATTGAAGGCCTCAGCGGTCCTGGATATCAGGGAGACATCGCTTTGGATGACATCTCATTTACACCAAACTGTCGACCAGATACAGGTGCAACCATTTCTCCTATTCCACCAAGTGGAACACCACCTCCAGGCTGTAACTCAGGGCAATACAGGTATCTATGCTGTCGGATCTCACTTTAATGTAAGATATGTAATATGCTTCCTAAAGGAATGTTTTTCACTCTTTGTTTGACCTTTTGTAGAAAGTATGTTGAAGCCCTCTTGCAATGAGCACAAGTGCTGATAAATACTGGTTTCTCGTTCATTTATGTTGTAGTTGTTGCATATGTCTTCTCTATTCCGTCATCTCCTGCATATGCCATGAAATGACATTTCATGTGGACCAGGAGGAACTCCACATAGCACCTTATTTTAGGAGATAATATAAATGTTATTATCACAAAGGGTAAACTGTTGATGCTCCAAAAATGTTTCTCCAGGTGTACCAGTAACGGACAATGCATTGACATCAACAAAGTCTGTGATTTCCGTACTGACTGTTCAGATCAGTCAGATGAGGCCAATTGCCCGACAACATGTAACTTTGAAAAGGGATACTGTAAATGGACAAATCCTCAGGTTGGAGACCACTATGACTGGATTCGTAACAAGGGCAAAACCCCTTCAAAACTCACTGGGCCTTCTACTGATCATACATACAACACATCAGCAGGTCTGTGTCATTTCTTACAATTTTTTATGCATCATTAACAGGGGTTTCATTAATAGATCCTCAGATAATCATGGCTTACTAGCTTTTTGCGGGTTTTCATGCATTTTAGCCCAGCTTTTCTGGCAAAAATATGATGTGTAGAACATGATGTGAAAATATGATGTGTAGAACATGGTGTGAAAATATGATGTGTAGAATGAGTTCACCTGATTGCTGCTACTAATTCAATATACCAGCTTCAGCCAGCAAAGGCTTGTGGGTTAACAAAGATTCTTTAGTGACTGCATGCAGTTTGGTAATCCCCAGAACGTAGCATTTTTGCTCAGCATCAATACTGAGCTTTGTTGGCTTAGGTGCACCCCTACAATGTTGACCCATTTTCAACTCCAGATGTTGTTCCGTTTCTTTTTTCCAATTAAGAGTATGTACATTGAATGCACAGCACTTGCAAATTGTGTTGAACATTTTTTTTATAGGCCAGGTAAAGCAAGGCGGGTAATGCATTATGGGTGGGAAGCACAATTAGATTCTCGCCAATAAATTTCTTCCTAATTGGTACTTTTCGAGATGTGACATGCTTAAGAGTTTGTTAACTTACTTTGTTTCAGGTTACTATGTGTACACTGAAGTAACCAATCGTACCGCCATCTTTGCTGATGCACACTTGGTCAGTCCATTCTTCCGGCAGGCCGGTAAAACATGTAAATTCCAGTTCTGGTACCACATGTGGGGTCGAAATATTGGATATCTTCAAGTCTATTACCGCCGAAATTCACGTGACAAACGACTCTTCAATATATTTGGCAACCGGGGCAACCAGTGGAACAAGGGAATGGTGGACATTCCTAAGTGTGCTAGTGATTTCCAGGTAAGTGGCTTTCGACAAATGGTAAAAGGTGGTAAAATTCTTGGTAAGATCCTTGGGCACATAATAATGTTTCACACGAAAATGTTTTACAATGGAGGAAGACGCATTCTTGTGCTCGTCTACGCGTTGATGCAAATGCCGCCGCGTGTAACCAACAATAGACGGCTTGACTTCGCGCGGTTTCAGATGTTGTTTGATGTTGTTACTAACAAACAAAGGCCTGGTCTTTAAATGGCAGAACAACGCGAACAGCATCTAATTCATTGTTAACAGCCAGTTAACAATGAAATCCAGTGTCCAAGGATCTTACCAAGAATTTTACCACCTTAAAAAAGTGTAAGAACAAGTTTGACTGTCTCAATTATGAAATGGTTTTCTCTTAATGAACTGAGACCAAGTCACAATGTACAGTCAGACTCAACTCTCGCGACAGTTTTTAATTATTTTAATTATGTTATTCTTGCATGCATTTTATTGTTCTTAACACCCTTTTTTACATTTTCATACTTTACGTACGTTTACTTCTTTGTTTTATATTTATACGTATGCAAAAATTTTTATCTTCACTTTGAAACTTGATAATGACTGAAGTTTGGTCGAAACGTCGCGCGCTTTTACCGTTAGTTTTTACTTCAAATAATAATAATAGTAATGATAATGATAATGATAATGATAATGATAATGATAGTGATAATGATAGTGATAGTGATAGTGACAGTGACAGTGATAGTGATAATGATAATGATAATGATAATAATAACAATAATAATCTGACCAATAATTAATAATAAAGATCTGACAAAGCTGCATTGCTTTCTCTACAGATTGTCGTCATGGCAAAACATTATTCCAGTGGAACTCTTGGTGATATAGCTGTGGATGATGTCAGTTTTGTCAACTGTATGCAGCCTTTGCCACCCAGCAGTTGCAGTGGAAATTCATTCAGGTGTGCCAGTGGACACTGCATTGACCAGTCGGCAAAATGTGATTTTGAACCAGACTGCTGCGATGGCTCAGAGGAGAGTAATTCTACATGTGTTAAATACAACAGGTATTGTTTTGGCTTCTGTCATAAAGGCTATAACAACATCCAGTGGAAAATCAATGTCATTGTGGGTTTTATTGAACTAAACAAGATAGAAGGATAGTCATGGAGATGCAGAATCTACTCGTACTTTCGACTGATGTATAACTCAAACTTAAGCATTGTCTTACCATCTGTTATTTTTATAGGTGCAACTTTGAGGCAGGCCTCTGTGACTACATGCAACTTGCAAATGACACGTTCAACTGGAAACGACAAACGGGAAGAACAGGATCCTTTGGAACAGGACCATCATTTGATCATACCACCCAGACCTCCAATGGTAAGAGATCATCTGAATGTTATTATTTTAGCAGTATATTTTGTCTTATATCTGAGGACAATGTTTGATCAGGAAAGGGAGCATACAGTAACTATGGTCTTGACATGCTGTGCTTACTTTGTTTTGTCCTTTGGTTTGACAGGCTATTACATGTACATTGAAGCTTCATCTCCACGTAAAAAGGGCGACAATGCTATGATTGGAAGTGCTGTCTTTACACCTACAAGCACGTGCAAGGTACGATTCTTCTACCACATGTATGGGCGCCATATTGGAACATTGAATGTCTACACCAGAACAAGCACCACTGGATCAATGAACAAGATTTGGACTAAAACAGGAGACCAAGGAGACAAATGGGTGAAAGCAACAGCTAGTATTAGTGTCTCAAAGAACTTCCAGGTGAGCCTATCGCTAGTGGCGCCATAAAGAGACCTGATTTGAATTGCTTACCAACTTCTTGTCATGACACAAGATACTTGTAGTAGTTAACTTTCTTGTCTGTTTTTTGTGTCCTGAAAAATATATTTCAATATTAATGGGAGAAGAGATGTGTCTACAAAGATTTGTTTACCACACACTGACATGTGGGAAAAAAAAATCTACTTTTGATGGAACGCAATATAATTCATGTGTGAAGTGCGGTTAAATAAGGAATGTGAGGTAAGTTGTAATTTAACCGTGAAAGGTGGCAGAAAATTCCACCGCGACCTGAAAGTTTTGGCTTAAATGGAGCCTAAGACCCCTTACACTGTGGATGCTAATAATAAAGGGAATAACTGACCTATGAAGTGTTGCTTAGAAATCAACCAGAACTATAACATTTTTTGGCAGTTTTCAACTTCTTTTTGCTTTACAATCGTTCGAAATTATTGCACATTTTTCACTTGTGGAAAGATGTTCATAATGTGGGTCTTTTAAGGCAGTCAGATCCACAATAGTCACTTCAGTGCATGGTTTTATCGAGTTACTTTGTTAATAAGTTGTTTACTTTCCACAGGTCATTTTTGAAGCAGTTGTTGGCATATCCTATCAAGGAGACATTGCTATTGATGACATTTCATTCACTGATACATGTATTGTTGGTGGAAATATTCCTGGTAAGCACTGCCAGACACAATTCTCAAAACTAAACTTGTTTGTTAGATTTAATTGTGTTATTCGCAGAACTTCTTCTGGTAAATGCTTGCAGAGAACCAAACTTTGAAATATGTCAAATCGCTGTTGCTATTGAGAGAACTGCACAGGGAAAGTCGATAAAGGGTGTATGTACAGCCGAACCTCCCGTAAGCGACCACCCAAAATGTCAAGCTCAGGTGGTCGCTTATGGGAAGTTGTCCCTTACGAGAGTTCAGACCATAATGGGTGAAAATTTTTCCTCATTAGAATATGGCAACTACAGAGACTTTCCCAATGCAGCAATGCCGATGCAATGTTTTATTGATGTTAAAGTCAATTTCGAGAAAAAAAAAAATTCGGTTCTTCCCATTAAGAAATTTCCGTTTCTTGTACCAGCCAGGACTACGATAATGTTTCAACACCTTATTATCCGATTTCTGCTCTGTTATCTGTCAAGTGGTCGCTTACAGGAGGTTAAAAACAAAGGAAAATTTCGAACTGTTAGCTCTAAGAGTGGTCGCGGTCGCTTATGAGAGTTTGTCGCTTACAAGAGGTTCCAAATATAGTGATTTGACTGGCGAAACTTTTGGTATTTTGGAAAATTGGTCTCTGAGGAGAGGTGGTCCCAACTGGAGGTTCGACTGTATGTATTTCCTGCAAAGTGATTACCAGATAAAAAACTTCAAGGATTTTGTTATAGCATGTTTGTTACACCAAGACAGTTCACAACGAAAGCAAATTTTCTTACACGTTGGATCTTGTTGTTTGCTTGATTAGTTGATGGTTTGCTTGTTTGAGTTTTTACTTACCAAGGTCTGCTTATGTGTTTACTAAGTCCTCTTTGTGATATGTGGCACATAACACAAACGGAACAAATGACTATGTACATTCCTACCAAGTCATGTATTCTCCCTGAACTTATTTACCTCGTGGTATTTGTCACCCAGGTCTTCCAACACCATCACCTACTCCAACATCGCCATCACGATTCAAATGTTCAAGTGGCTCCCCAAGCTCTATTGACCTGAAAAAGAAGTGTGATTTCAGCAAAGACTGCAGTGACAATTCAGACGAGACATCTTGTGGCTGGCCATGTGACTTCCAGAAAGACATGTGTGGCTGGACTAATTCCAATCTAGACAACTTTGACTGGCGACGTCATAAAGGCTGTACTGGAAGTCTTAATACAGGTCCATGTGTGGATGCGGATAAGAGTGCCAGTGGTAATAATAGCTGTCCTTAGAACTGTAAACGTCAGCCATTAACATTGTTATCCATAACAATACTTCTTGGCAGGACTTCGTTTTTTCTTAGAGTTTCTGTTGTTTTGATCGTAGGTTACTACTTATACATCGAGACATCAACAGGTCTGATAGGAAACAAAGCTATCCTGATAAGTCCTCAGTTCCAGCAGGCCTACAGCACTTGTCAGCTGAAGTTCTCATACCACATGTATGGATCTACTATTGGCAGTTTGACTGTGTACCTCAGTGATGGCGTCAGCAGGACTAGGATGTGGAGCTTAAGTGGTTTGTATACTTTAATTTCTTTTCACTGGTAGGTGCTGCCTTCACTGGGTGCAAGATAGGCTCGATTATCAGCCGCTGTTCGGGAAATGAGCCCGCGCAGGAGGAACGTAGACCGGACTCGAGAGCGGCCGAAATCGAGCCTGGGTGCCAGGGGCTTTTTATCTTCGGTTTCCTGGTGTTCCTCGGCCTTAAGAGCTGTAAATCGTATTGTAAATCCTGATGAATTTCCACCGTGTATAAAGAAAGATCAAAGATTAAAAAATTAAAGCTGATGATTGCTTTCCAAAACGAGACAAATGATCTAAACGATGACGTTATACCAGAATATTACTTAATAATTTTGACAATCGGAGTACTTATTGTCTTGGTTGTTCTTAAAATTCGTTATCTAGGCAATCAAGGGAACAAGTGGTTTGACACAAATGTTTCAATTGGACGTCGAAAGACTGCTTTTACAATCGAGTTTGAAGCAAAGCGTGGACTTTCATGGAGTGGTGACATCGCAATAGACTCTGTCTCCATGATTAACTGTGAGAAACCATCACAGTGCATTGGTCAAATACCATCAGATTCCCTAAGGTTAGTTGCAGTTGCTTCAACCTTCAGCCAGATAGCCACCTGAGATTTGAACTCAAACATTATGATGTTGATGATATAGTAAGATCTATTCAAAGATTGTATAGTGTCTAACAAAGATGTGTGTTAACTTGGATCCAATAAACCCATTGCAGAAATGGCGCGCAAATTTGAATAACAATACTTATAGATCCTAAGCGTCACATTCATGTGGAAAATCGTTTGTCTGGAAACATAAGTACGAGGCTAAGGATGTACAAAGTATTGTTATTCAAGTATAGACGCCATTTATGCAAATGGCCTATATGCCAATATAGTATTTCAAAGCTGTAAGCGTCAAATTTTATATTAACAAGCACAAGGAGAAGTACGTTGGTCCTCGTTCCAAATTTATATTTTTGTCACTAAATTGAATGGAGAACTATCCTTGAAACTATTCGAGAAGGTACCTTTAACATGGAGTTCTGTCAAGGAATGTTGTAAACCAAGGATGTTGAAGTATTTTGTTGTATCGATGGCTGGTTTCTGAAACATCTTGTTTAGTTTGCCTTTTCACATGGTAACATTGTAGGGAAATGGTTCATCATTTGTGGTAAAACAGAGCACGGCTGGCATTTCCCTTGTTGATTGTTGACGACAACGTACAAAGTGCTCCCATTTAATTTTCTTGTCATTCAGTAATGTAAGAGGGAAACAAGTGAAAACGAATCGCTGGTCTTCAGTGCTAGTTTTTTACTTCGCCTTCATGTTCTCTAAATTCTTTCCATGGTATGCACTGCATTCACTTATGACTTTTGTATGTTTCAAGGTGCTCAAATGGTGCTTGTATCAAGAAGAGCAAGGTTTGCGATTTTTCTGACGACTGTGGAGACAACTCTGATGAAGGCTCATGTGGTAGCTACTTGGCACGTTGTAACTTTGAACAAGACCTGTGCACCTGGAAACAACAAACTGACGATGAATTCAACTGGACCAGGAGGAAGGGTCAAACTCCGTCTGTCTCAACTGGGCCGGCCAGAGATCATACTTTGGGTACCCTGGCAGGTAGGATACTAAACTCATCTTGTTATCCGTAAAGCGAGTATATGGCTAGTTGTTAGCGAGCAGAGAGGAAGAAATGGTTCTAAAATAGATTATTGGGTTTAGATACTGTTGAATATCAAAATTGGTCTGCCAGTTTTTGTCAAGGGGACTTGGGGTTAATCTGCACTATTTTAAGACCTAATTGAAACAGAATTTAATGGGGTTTGCATAAGCACCAGCGACCGGTGAAAACCACTTGTAGTCCTGACCCCAGTTGTTCGAAGACTGGATAGTGCTATCCACTCGATAAATCGTTTTCCAGTAGATAAGTGTTAACTAAATAGTGGATAGTGACTTCTACGGTGGATAACGTTATCCACCTGTCGAACAACCGGAGCCTGGACGTGCCGACAACTCTTAAGGTTTTTCAAGGTGCAAGATGTACATAAAAGTTTTATTGCACATATAACCTTTTCGTTGCGTCTCGAAATAATCGTGTCCTAATCGGTGAACAAAAGAGCTTCTCTTGGCTCATTGATATTTGGCGGATTCCACGTTTTGTAAGATAAGCGTTCTTTGCACTTTACCAATGTGTTTGTCAAAATGGATTTTTGTTACGCAATGTTTGTGATTTTCTTTTCAGGCTATTATTTGTACATCGAGACGTCTGGACAGAAGTTTGGTGACCGTGCTAGGCTTGGCAGCCCAAATCTTTCAGGGCAGTGTGCTCTACGCATGTTCTATCACATGTTTGGTCAGCATGTCAATGCTCTTGTGGTGTACATGCGTACTACGTCAAATGGCCCGCTCACAAGAGTTGCGAATGTATCTGGCAATATTGGAGATAACTGGATTCGGCAAGAAATCAAAGTCAACAATGGCAAACAGCCATACCAAGTTGTTATTGAGGGTCAGTTAAATGAACATTTACTGTAATGTTGAAGTCAAGAAATTGTTTATTTGGCCTGAAATGGGAGAAATGAAAAACTGAGCTGGAGAGAGAGATGGTTTACTGGTGTGTTATGTAGCCATCTAAATCAAATCATGCGATGATCACTCGTGTCTGTACATCTTTCTTCGCAGTTCAAGTATATGATCCTTCAAATATTCACTTGCATAAATAAAAAAAATCATCGCGCACCTCCAATGATTGCTTTCACCTAACCAAATAATATGCTTGATAGTTCCGCGTACAGTCTACTTCATCTGTCAGGTATGTAGTTATATTTGTTATCTCTTGCTTGTTCCAGGTATCAGAGGCAAGGGCTACAGGGGAGACATTGCTATTGACGATCTTAGCATTGCTCTTAAGCCGAGCTGTAGTTTGTATAGTGGATCACTGCCAGCGGCAGGCTCCACTGTTGCACCTGTCACCACAGCAGCCCCCAACAACTGCTTAGTATCTCAGTTTGCCTGCGTTGGTAACGGCAATTGTATTCAGCTTGGCCAGGTCTGCGACTTCAACTTGGACTGTGATGATGGCTCTGATGAAAGATCTTGCCGTAAGTACTACAACGTACTTTGTTCTGGAGGCATGAATCCTCTAGCTTTTGCTTTCTTAGTAGTCACATGCCCTAGTTAGGTAGCTATCGTGTCCATCCCAAATTAAACACATTTTGCAATAGGTATAACCTCTTGTTATCACAAATGTGTCGTAGACAGCAAACGTGTCTTTCTTAACAGCTACCGTTTGCACATTTGAGAAAAACCAGTGTGGCTGGGTGAACACCGACAGAGACAACTTTGACTGGCAGCGCAAGCAAGGCAGAACTCCAAGCATTGGAACAGGCCCCTCTGTTGACCACACAACTGGAACAAATCTAGGTTATTACTTGTATATAGAGACTTCATTTGGCAGTGTTGGTGACCGTGCCAGGCTGGTCAGTCCTCTTTTCCAAAAGGTAGGGAATGCATTTTGAAATTTGGAACAGGACATTGAGCAAAAATGGTATTTCTCGACCTTTTGTTTTTGATAAACGATTAACACCCCTAAATAAAAAGACCCACTAACTAAAATCAGCCAATACGAATGCTTCATTACCAGTCCAGAGTTTTATATTATTTGTCTGTAATTATTTTGTTATTCTTACCAGGCTCATGCCAACTGCAAGATGACATTCTGGTACCACATGTATGGTTCATCCATTGGCTCTCTCAATGTCTACCTAAATGTTAGCAATAGATTGACTCTTTGGTGGCGGAAGTCTGGTAGCAAGGGCAATGTGTGGAAACAGGGGATGGTGGGAATCGGGAAGAAAACCCGGCCTTTCCAAGTTCTCTTCCAAGGTAAGAGGGGTTTGCGTTCAAAGTGCTTAGAGTTAAATACCTGTAATCACCCACATATTAGTGGAATATTAGGCCAGCTGCGCATGGTCAATATTTTGCCCCATAGAAGTGAAGATGTATACTTACTTTGTGATGACTGAGTGCAAGAGGAGTTTTAAGATACACTTATCTGTTGCTTTGGCAAAAAGTTGTAAGTGGGTCACACCTAAACTATGCAGGACTTCAGGGAGTTTGTCTTTTGAAACTCAGCAGTGTCAGGACAAATCTGGAACAAAATAGCATCCCATTAAAGCAGAAGTATTGTATTCCTTTGTCAGGCACACGAGGCCGATCCTACTCTGGGGACATAGCTGTGGATGATATTCAGTTTGTTGATTGCGCACTTCCTCCGGTTGCAAAGAGTTGTCCAGAATTCACCTGTACCCGGAAATCTTGTGTGAAAAATGACTATGTCTGCGATTATAACGACGACTGTGGGGACAACTCTGATGAAAGAGCCTGTGGTACGACAATTTGTGTGTTTTTGTTTTGAAAATCCTAGTGCAATGCAATTATGCTGAGCGTTTCAACTGATCATAACGTATGTTCATATATTTTTGTTAATTTGAGGTAGGAACTACTAAACGTTATTCATCGTGGTGGTCTGTAGGGACTATAACCACTGTCTTTGGTAACAGATTGTCACAAGGATCCATTTAAATTGGGATTTAGTGTATTTAATAGTACCAACTTCACATCTGTGGTATGTATCCTTTTATCTTAGGTGCTTACGCCACACGATGTGATTTTAGTCAAGGACCTTGCGATTGGACTCAGAGTACTGAGGATGACTTTGATTGGTTACGAAGGCGGGGTAAGTGCTTCCAGAAAGTGTGACAATGACAATGGCAAAAACAGTAACAGTAACAGTAACAGTAACAGTAACAGTAACAGTAACAGTAACAGTAACAGTAACAGTAACAGTAACTTTATTTCCGTGTGACTGTATGTAGCTATACAATAAGCGACTCGTGGCAGTTGTCTTCCATTAACAAATGTCGGCCTTGTATGTTGTTTTTTACATACTTCAGGTGCAACAGCCTCGTGGAACACTGGCCCACCATCAGATCACACCACACAGAATGGCTACTACATGTACATTGAAACCTCGTGGCCTCGTAAATATGGTGACAAAGCATGGATGGTGAGCCGAAACTTCCAAGCAATAGCTTTTGGCTCACCTCCTTGTAAACTTCGCTTCTTTTATCACATGTATGGCGACTCAGCAGAGAAACTGACTGTTTATATCAGGAATTACCAGAATGGCACTGCTCAGCAAAAAGTGTGGAGCCAAGTGGGCTCACAGGGTGCGATGTGGAACAGGGCAGTGGTGCAGTTGTCTTCCAACAAAAACTTCCAGGTTAAATTAAATTCTCCTTCTTGTTATTTGAATTCCATTAATTTTAAATTTTAACCATACGTTTTTTTGACATAACGTTTGATGGGACTGGGATTTGATGTGATTGCGCTGTATTGGGCTTTTCAGGTGATATTTGAAGGTGTTCGTGGTGACAGCTATACTGGTGACATTGGTTTGGATGATGTGTCCTTCACTACTGGCTGTAATACATTTGGTGGAAATCTCCCGGTAGCTCCACCACCCACCCCAACTGCTCAGCCAGCAACCACAAGTCCACATCAGTGTAGCAGTGCAGAGTTCAATTGTGCCAAACAGGGCCCTGCTGCATGCATCCTTAGTACACAGGTGATAAGTTGATTAAACTTCACACATTCACAATTGTAGACAGAGTTCCTACTGATAGCAATGGGTTTACAGTTCTCTAATCTCGATAGAACCACCCACACGAAAGCCTAGTTAACCATCTTTGTTGTTGTTTAAGTGAACCCATTTAGTAGAGAATGAAACCGCTAGAACACCTATCAAATTATGACCTTGGTGACTTATGAGGTTCGTGCTCTGTTGGCCATCACGGGCACGTACACATGTAACACTCACGCCAACAGATTTCCTCATTTTTGGTAATGTTTCTTTTTGCTCAGGTATGCAACTTCCAAAACGATTGTCAAGATGGTTCAGATGAAGGAAAGTGTGTTAACTCTCGCTGTACATTTGACAGTGGTGACCTCTGTAATTGGTATGTAGATAACCCCACTCGCAAGCGACGTGATGTAGGATATACCTGGCTGGCCCAGCAGGGATCTACAGGCACTGCTGGAACGGGACCCACCAAAGACCACACAACAGGTACTAGACATCTAACATCTGGATATTTGCAGTAGTCCTATGTTCTTGATTTGCTATGACATTGGTAGATAACTTGCACATTACAACGCGATGACAGGAAATGTTTGATTCTTTATTGGGGGTAAAGGACAGCTGTCCTCATCCATACATGTAGTCACTTATCCAGATCATGTAGCAATTGCAATTGTGTTATATGTGACAGGAAGCGTAGCTGGCTGGTATATCTATGCAGAAAGCTCTGGTGGCTCAGCTGACGATAGGGCACCATTGACAACACCTAGGATTGGACAAACAGGACCACAGTGCGTCCTATCTTTCTGGTACCACATGCGTGGCTCAGATGTTGGAACACTCTCAGTGAAACTTGCCTTCCCGGACGGAACGAAACCGACTATATGGAGCAAAACTGGAAACCAGGGCGACAAATGGCAGAACAGCCGTCTGGTCATTGGCTCGAGGCAACTCTTCAAGGTATGGGTTTGGCAGCAGATATTGGAAATTGATGGTAATTTTCCCAATTGGGATTGTCAGCCATCAGTGTTTGATATTACTGCAATGTGAAAATTCTTTTTTCTTTAATTTTTTTTTTGGAAAAACGTTAAACTTTACTGGGTAAATCGAAATGTTACCAGTTACGACAGTGAAAATGACTATCAGAGCAAACCTTTCGTAAAGCCCTCGCTCTGTTCGTTGACCGACTGCTACTTCAAGTTCTAAGTTGTAACAAAAATTACACACTTGTAGTAAAGATTTCACAATCCGTCAAATGATCACGGCCCATTCTTATTCTTCGAATAATTATATGTTGTTTTGTACTTCGTAAATGTGATTTTAAGCTCTTCTGTGAAATATTCCTATAAACGGTTATTGCAGAACTGTTTGTAATTCAGGTGACTGCTTCTTTAGGTTATCTTTGAAGCGAGGAAAAATTCTGGTTACAAAGGTGATATCGCTTTGGATGATGTTGAATTCCTAAAATGTCAGCCATTGGACACCACTAAGAAGTGCACTGCCGATCAATTCCAGTGAGTAGAAATCACAGTATTTAGACAAAACATACCTGTACCGATTCCGTGTATTTCTTTTATAGATCCGAAGAAATGACTTGTGACTTTGTGACTTGTAAACTGCTTGCCAGACTTTAAATGTTCTATGCAGCAACACTTCTGTATATCTCAGATTAACAGGGTATTCTTGTAGCCAATCTTTTAAGCTCGTAAATCAGACTGTTGCTGTTTCACTGCTCGTGCTTTAACTCATTGCAAATAACGTATTCTAAAATTACGCACGGTAGGATTCAACGCTGTCACTGTTCTCAGTTGAGCCTGCATCCGTAAAAAGTAGTATTATTTTGGCCTTGCAATAGGTACTGCAGCGCTTCTGAAAGATTGTCTGTTGGCCATGTGCAACCTTGGAACACTCTATGCTAAAATGCAGTGGTCGAGAAAACGTTCCAAAGGCCTCTGCTAACCTCTTTTTCAAACTCTTTATTTTGCCAGGTGTGCTCAAGGTGGATGTATTCCTGTGACTTCTCTGTGTGACTTCAATGCTGACTGTATGTCTGGTGATGTATCGGATGAGACTAGCTGTGCTGCGTATCAATCTGGACAGTGTGATTTTGAGCATGGCTTGTGCCTGTACTCACAGAGCTATGACGACAAGTTTGACTGGACTGTGGCTACTGCTGGAACATATTCGTATGGTACCGGCCCCTCCTTTGACCATACAACCATGACAAACAAAGGTACCAGCATTTAGATGTCAGGTTCAACTTAAAAAATAAATATGTTGTAATTACATTAGAAGAACACTTATCCCATAAAAAAATGAAAACGAATGCTACATTTTGAAATGAGGTGTTTTCCTGGAGGATGTTAGCAAAGAGACTAGTATGCACGTTAATGGGATGTAATGTAATTTTTCTGAGTTTCATTGTTATTTGGTAAGCTCAGCAACAAGGAGAGAATGCGCGGTCACTTGTCCAGATTAGTGTTGTAGTTGTTGTTTTTATAGCCACTGCCAAAATTCAGTCCTAATTGAGCCTTAGCCGGGATGGAAACGTGTAGTCACTATGAAATGTTTTATATTAGTGATAATACCAAGTTACATCACCTACCCTTGAAACCCTTGGTCAAACCCTTGGCTTCCCCTCTAAATATTGTAATTTATTTTTTTATTTGTTTATTTAATGTTTGTGGATTAACCTCTTTAGGTCGCTATATGTACATTGAGACATCATGGCCACGTAAACCGGGAGACAATGCTCGTTTCAACTCACCGATCCTAAAGAGTACCTCTTCTAACTGCTACCTGCGATTCTACTACCACATGAAGGGTAACCATATTGGTAGCCTGCTCGTTCGCATCCGCACAAGCTACTATTCAGGAGGCATCAACAGTCCTCTGTTGAACATTACCGGAGCTCAAGGTGACTTCTGGTATCGTGCCATGGTGCGAGCTCCATACAGTCGTGACGACTTCCAGTTTGTGATTGAAGGTGTACGAGGAAGTGGTTACCAGGGTGACATTGCTATTGATGACGTTTCGCTGACAACTGGCTGTCAGATATGCAAAGACTGTACCATGCCAGGTAGGTTGTTTCGTTATATGACGATTTTCACAAATGACTATTACAATTTAATTGCCTTTGGGGAAGGAAAACTAACATCATATTCGTGCTTTCCCTCTAGGTCAACCAACATCGACTCCATTTGGTTTTCACACGCGGCCAACTGGTTCATCTTGTGGTCTACAGCAGTATGTGTGTAAGAACCTCAGATGCGTTGACAAAGCTCAAATATGTAACTTCCAAGACGATTGTGGAGACAACTCAGACGAAATTCCTTGTGGCTCAAATTGTACATTTGAGGGTGATTGCTATAAGGGCTGGAGACAGTCTGCAGGATCTGACAACTTTAACTGGAAGAGGAAAAATGGAAAGACACCGAGTGTGGGGACAGGACCCAGCGCTGATCACACCCTGGGAACACCGCAGGTACATTGTTACAGATCATGTTACGCGCAATGGTGAATGCAGAGAGGCCTCTCTACTTAACTGAGTCAAGACACTCGCCATGTCCCCTTCCCCATAACTTTTAAATGAGCCTTCTTTTTCCAAGAAGTGATATAGAGTCATTTGTAATGTGCGAAGTTTTAATTCGTACCCTTCTTCTCCCACTAGGGATACTACATGTACATTGAAACATCTTCTGGCAGTGTAGGAGACAAAGCAGAGCTTACATCATACAGGTATTTTGTGTCAAGCCCTAACTGCAGGATGACACTTTGGTATCATATGTTTGGATCAGGGGTTGGACAATTGGACGTCAAGATAAAGAAATCGGATGGAACCTATGAGCTCAAATACTCCGTGGCTCAATCTCAGGTAACATCATGGTTATTGCACTACTTGTAAACCATTTCTACGGCTTAAAGGCCACACTGCGCGTCTACCTCTACAGAAACTATCACTCTCGTGCAAATCTCTCTCTATTCCTACTTTGGCGGCAAACATAACAACATTTACTGAAATGCTATGATTTGCATACCAAGTTTTTGACGATTGTACTTCACCTCATAGTTTGGTTTATAAGGCATTACATCCCACCCATCATACTTCAAAGTGTTATACACATTAAAACGGATTCCGCTCAAAGTTCGAGCTATAACTGCAAAAATGATATACTAAAAATCTACTAATAGCAAGGTAACTTTTGGAATACATTAGTTAACGCCCAAGTCGCTAGTGGAAGGAAGGTGCCTACGAAGCCCGGGGGCTGCAACCGCAGTCACATCCCCAAGGCGCTAGAACACCCGACTGGCCTGCCCAACCCGCAACCAAGCCACGAGTCTCCCCGCGCCAAGCCCCCTACAGGCACCCGTCACACTCAAGCCAGATGGCATTGGTGGAAAAAAAAAACGCTGAAAAGAGGGGGGGATAGGGAGGGAACGTCGAGAACCGCTAAACTATAATTCAATCCACAACGCCACACTAACAGAGCGATGAACACACTGCGAGCACATGGGACGACAACACTTGTACTAACCAAAAATACTTCTGGACAATGTCAGCCCCAGGGCTTTCATGACCATTTGATTGTTGTAAACGCTACAGAATGCACCAAACGCTAAACAAATGCTAACAGATGGCTAAGGCACTATCAAACTCCTACAAAAAAAAACCTCTACTGACCAGACTAGCTCCTGGTCATAAACTATGTAAAATTTCATTGAACTATATCAAACGCTACAGAACGCACCAAACGCTCACAGACGGCCAAGACACTAACAACCGCCTATAAAAACGCTACTGACCAGACTAGCTCCTAGTCGTTAACTATGTTAAATTTCATTTAACTATATTTAATTTCTCTAAGTGACCCCGTGATTAAATTCTCAAGCGTTCTCGAGAAAGTTAAAGCCAAACCTCGTAAGAATGCTTAGAGTGTGTGTTCTTGTGTTTTTTAACTAACGCGTAACGTCTGTGTAATTGAAATATGGATAACTTCAAGTTTAATTTTCTCTCTCGGGGTCACCTTGAGAGATTTAGTCTCGATAAGTTCTTCTTTACTGTGTTCCAAATATTACCATGCTATCAGGTTTTTTTGGTAACTTAATTTTTGCCATTATTGCTCGAATGTTCTGCGGAAATCATCTTAACAGCTGCATGCACTAACAGTAAATATCAATAGGATGATTCTGCTAATTTGTATCCAGTTGTTGTCGCAAATAATGTACTTCTTGTACACCACAGGGTAACAACTGGAAAAAGACGACGATTGATATTGGTACATACAAGGACTTTGTGATCATCATCCAAGCTACTCGTGGATCGAGCTGGCAGGGCGATATTGCTATAGATGACATATCTTTCAGCAACTGCTTTGCGGATGTTGCCAGGAACTGTACTCAGAGTGAAGTAGGTTTTTCCGTTATTTTTTGACAACGAAAGACGTTTTACGTAGATACATACTGACGATTTTAAAAAGTGGTAATTAGAGAGGAGACAACACAAGTCAGTCGGTGTTTTAAGGATGTTTTGTTGTCTTCTTTGCGTCTATGACTCCTGTGAGCCATTCACTGGATTTTGCCATCGGATGAATTATTCCCTCTTTTCTTTACAGTGCAATTCGAGCATTTTCATTTTAATTTGAAATTCACATTCGGTTACTTTGGGTAATGTGATGTGGTCTTCCCTTTAAAGGCAGCAGACTTGAACGAAAGCTTACATTTTGCACCCTTTCTGAAGGGTATTTTTACCCTAGATCCGGATGATGTGTGCAGCGTAATGTCTGCTTACAATAGACCAATCCTACACTCACACAGTGTTTTTCTTTGTTGCGTCATTCAAGGTCAAATGTGCCGATAGTGGCCATTGTGTAACGGAACAAAGAGTCTGCGATCATGTTAAGGACTGTAAGGATGGCACTGATGAAAGCTCAGCACTCTGCTCCAGTCGTAAAGCAAGTTGTGACTTTGAAATCAACTGGTGTAACTGGTTTAACTATTGGTCTGATGATTTTAATTGGTTGCGTGGAAGTGCCATCGGAACAACCGGAACAGGTATGGAATAGGTTTTCAGCGGAAGGCCCAGGTAATGGTGATGAAAGACATATACCGTTTTAAAATTTAAAATTCGGGTAGCCAGGGTTTGTATCTAGTTGTAAACACTTTCCACGTTGTAGGCAAAAATTATAAGTCGCAGGCTTGGTTTGCTCAAAGCAATTCATGTCATCGACCTTCCGAAAGCTTGTGGCAAAGTTGTACCGGTCCTTCATTTAGGAAGTAGCTTTCATAAGTTTGATTAGTTAACTTCTGTCCACACAAAATCAAGAGTATAGAAATGAGCCCACATGGATGATGTGACGAGATTTGTAAAATTTGGGTTACATTACATGTAAAATGATCTTTTTCAAAGTGAATAACACAGTAAGGTTGACTCTTTCTTAAGAGGGATATCATTGGTTGGTGCGTTGCTCCTGTCTGCAACTTAGAATAAACGCTTTGTAAAAACGAACACGTATCTAAGATGGACAACTAGGGCCGGTGCTGAGAGTTTCTGTGCTTCTCAGAATTAATTGACACCTCACCTTACTGTGCGAACATTCGTACATATATATGTGGTTAATGGATGTCTTTGTAAATTTCACATAGGTCCAACAGGAGACCATACCACAGGAACTGGTTATTTCTTGTACATGGATTCATCAAGCCCCAGGCAACTGCTTGACCGCACGAGGCTGGCCCACCGTAATTTGTTCCCTGCTGGTCGCGGAGTATGTACTCTAAGATTTTACTACAACATGTACGGGTCAAAGCTGATGGGTTATCTCAAGGTGTACCTGTTGACGTCGGGCTACAGTCGCTGGGCAGAAGTTTGGAAAACAAGAGGTGCGTGCTATCAGAAACATGCTTGTCTACCATTCTTTTGTAACTACTTCAATTGGTTTTGCGTTCTTTGGTGTAGTATCCCATGATGGCTGACCCTTTCAGGACTCTTGCGGCTGATTGAAATTCAGTAAGCTTCAGTGTCTTTTTCACGAACCTATAGACAGAGGAACTGATCTATGACACGTCAGTTTAGAATGATGTGGAGAAAAAGTAGTTATAGACAGTGACTTTCGCAAACGAAATCGTTACAGCAGGCAGCTGTGGTTGAGAAAGGTGTCAAAACGTTTAAGCAACTATATTTATACAAGGTCGTGTTTACAGCAAAACTGGCGAGGTGTCTTGTACATAAAATAAGTAAGAGATTGAGACAAGTTGTCTTGTGTTTGCAGGTGATCCAACCAATAGGAACTGGGTTCGTGCTGAGGTTCAGTTGAACTCGGGCTCTTCCTTCAGGGTTGGATTTGAAGGTATTGTTGGAGGAGATGACAAGACAGATATTGCTTTGGACGATATCAGCTTTTCAGCTGGCTGTTACAAGGTACATCTGTTGCTTCACTACATAGACTTACCACAAGTCGACCTCATGAGTTTCAGGGTAGAATAGCTAAGCGAGCGGAGCGAGCTGTGAGGTTTTAACCCTCGAAGCGGCGTTGTGAAGGTCGCGAGGCTGCCGAGCGAGCGACGAAGTCGCGGGAGGTCCTGCGGGAACTGAATAAACAAGACGAAGGACTTTTCTGAAAGTCTATTCACTACCTTGTTATCACGGTTGTCCAGTAGTAAACAGTAGAATTGTAAGGCCTGTATTAACATATACAGATATTTCCTAAGCTTGAGTGGCAGTCTCACTTTCAGTATCAATGTTCAAACTAAAATCAGGTAGTACACCGTGCAATTTGACTTTTGGAAGAAATATGAGATTTTTTTAATTGCTGGATAGACTATGAATATTCAGGCACTCAGGACACAGATCTGTAGCAAAAACGCGAAATCGTGAAAGGAGAAGCTGCGTTTTGAAATATAGAAACGTATAGGTCTGGACAAGGCCCTTAAGCAAGTATCATCTTTTTAGGGAGGTAGCCCTCCAGCTCCAACAGGCTCTGCACAATGTGCCAGCAATGAGTTCTACTGTAAAGCAGATGACTTGTGCATCAACATCAACTGGAAATGCGACGGAGAAAGAGATTGCACAGATGGCGCTGATGAGGATCCGCTAAAGTGTCCGTCTTCTACACAGCAACCTACTCCGCCTGCAGGGTCATCCCATCCTGGAGACTGCGACTTCGATAAAGACATGTGTCTCTGGAAGTCTGCCACGTTCGCAGATTTGACATGGACACGAAATAAGGGCCAGACACCCAGCTATCAGACCGGCCCAGATGGCGATCACCCGTCAGGTTCAGGTAATCAAGTGGACATTGTCTACAAGTAATGCAAAAATGTTACCGGTACTTAATAAATTGTGATTAACGGTGAGGTTAATGAGGGAAAGATCATGATATAAGCAAATTCAAGCCCTTGTCGTTCTGGGTAGTTGTTGAACGTAGGAATGTCAGAATAGTTCTTAATTCTAATTTTACAAAATGCATGAAAAGGACCATTTGACGCTAATTCACTGTGCTGTTCGTTATAGGATACTATGTTTACGCTGAAACCTCTGGCTATTATTTGGGCCACTTTGGAGAACTTTTGGGTCCCAACTTACGGCAATCTGCGACTTGCCAGATCTACTTCTGTTATAACATGAACGGCAAAGACATGGGAACCCTAAATATCTACCAGCGCTTTACAGATGATCCCAAACCTGATCAGACACAGAAGAGAGTCTGGACGAGGAGTGGCGATCAGGGAAACAAATGGCGCTGTACTTACGTTAACATCCCAAGTAAGAGGCAGTACTCCATTGTGTTTGAAGCTGTTCGTGGTAATGGCTATCGCTCTGACATCGCTATTGATGACATCAAGTTTGTTTACTGTTCTGCTCTTGGACCCACTCCTGGCCCAACACCTAGCCCCAAGCCTAATCTGATGGATGAAGATTTTGAGGACTGCGTCAGTTGCTGGGTCAACGAAAACGATGGCCATGACCAAATGGATTGGATTATCGGACGCGGAGAAACTGCCAGTCTGGGTACTGGTCCCTCCTACGATCACACCAATAAGAGCATATATGGACGATACCTGTACATTGATGCATCCAGCATTACCAGGCCCGGATGGAATCACGCTGATTTGGAGAGCAGGCTGCTTGTCGTGCAACGACGGTGTTACATGTCTTTCTGGTACCATATGTATGGCTCTGGGGTGGGTTCCCTGTGGATTGTGGCCTATGTGTATAATGATCCCAAAAATCTGGTTGGTAAGTTTCACTTGCACAAAATTTTTAAAGAAAACCGCATATGTCAAATAACTCTGTAGATGGATCGACTGAGGTTCCGACCTGACAGTATGGAATTCATTTTTTCTCTAGATCATAAACAAGTCGATCTATGGTACATGAGAGGTAACCGCGGTAATAAATGGCAGCCTGGAATGGTGAGCTTATTCAATCCAGAAACAGCAAACAAGACATCCAAAATAGTGATCAGTGGAATTAGAGGAACGGACTTCAGTGGAGATATAGCAATTGACGACATCCAATTCCACAATTGTGACTTTAAGGATGCTTTAACACCGTGCACAGAGAGGTTTCCCAAGTGTAATGATCAACCTTTCACCCGGCCAACACTGGGTACGTCTATAAATATGATTTCACCCTGTTAGGATGTGTGCTGGTGAGACCGTCCAGTTATTTTGTGGAGATTTGTCAGTAGGTAAACTACCTCTTTCAACAAGAGCAAATTAGTGGATCCCATATTAAACGAACACGCCTTACAAGGCAGCCAGAATTTTGTTCCTGAAATGTTCTTCCGCATAAGACTGCAAATAAGCGCCTAATGTCATGAAGAGGCCCCTTCTGTTACGCTTCTGCTGGTACCTTTTAGCCATCCATGAGGACACTTCCACTTAATATTTGCTCCATTAAGCTGCCACCGGGAATTTAGTGTACATAGTGCGGCCTTGTTTTCAAAAATCAAATAACCGATAGGTAGGAGAATCCAAATTAGAAGGCGAGTATTGATAAAGATGTTTTAACACACGTTCATCCTAAAGTGATACTGTTTTCACTAACCAAAGATAACTAGTGAAATCCTTACTTTCCGGCAATAAATTGACGTGCCTAGCTTTCCTTTTGCTGATTTATTACATTATAAGCGAGTACTAATCATTTTCCATGTACTAACCATGTCCAAAATTTGCATTTTTCAAACTGAAAAAATAATCGTGTTCTCAATACAGGTCCATTGACTGGTAACTGCAATTTTGAACAAGGCAGCTGTCACTGGAATAACACAGCCGTAAGTGATATGCCGTGGTATCTAAGAGAGGGAGCAACAGGAAGTGCAAACACTGGTCCTGACATAGATCACACCACAGGCACCTCAAGCGGTAGGATGCACATTGTTATCGTTATCTAGCAATTGAATCTCTAAGACATGTTTTAAATGGAAAACGAGAATGAGTGGTCAAATTGTTGTGTGGAACATCTCTTACGACTACTCGTTGGAATATGAACACGGCTATTTTCTACTTATAGCAGATGTTACGTTGTGTTGGTGATATAATTTTGTTTTTTTTGTTATTTTTTGTGGGTTAGGATACTACATGCATATTGAAGCCAGTTACTACGTCAAAGGTTCCCTGGCTATCCTGGAGGGTCCTTACATGATGCCGACCAAAAATTGTAAAATGACATTCTACTACCACATGTTTGGTGGTGACTGCGGCTCACTGCTTGTCTACATCAACAGTGGTGATGACGTTCGGCTGGTATTCAATCGGACGGGTCCTCGGGGGAAAAACTGGTTGAAAGGAGACGTACAATTAACGAGCGACTATGCCTTCCGAGTTCACATCACTGCTTCGCGAGGAAATAGTTACAAAGGCGACATAGCAATTGATGACATTTCATTTCAGGTAACACCACGCCAGAGGTCAGGGCCGGGTTGTTCAAAGCCCGATTAAGTTAACCCAGGATTAGCCAGAATTTTGATTTCAGTTTTGTAACTTTTTGGTGAGGTGTTCTGTTTACATTGTTTGCCCTTCAGTTTTGAGCGGTAGTAATCTCAAACTACACCAAATATAAGAGGTGAAAAACATTTTTAAACGAGAAAAAAAATATTACTTCAGTTAACGTTTAATCCTGGGTTAACGTTAACCGGCTTTCGAACAACCCGACCCCTGGGCCCGTTTCTCGAAGGTCCTGAGGAGGTTTCGAGCCCGGAAAGTCGTAGCAAAATCTCAAGCCTTATGATTACAGAGCTGTTTTATTTGCATATTCGTAACATGAACAGAGCTTTTCTTCATACAAGGAGTTTCAGGCGTATACACTTCTCTGTTTTTAGATACAGATTATCTAAAAATGGCTTTGCGGGCCCGAAAAGTTTCCGGGGCTTTCGAGAAACGGGACCCTGGTCTATAGGCTAATTATTCAGTTATTTTGTGTTTTGCGTCATCACTTTTGTCAAGATCATTTCAATTTCATTCTGCTCAGATAATTTGGCTCGATGTCCGTTGAATACTGTGATTAGCTGATACACTGTGGCAAGTACAATCAACACCTTGTTTTAAACTATCTTGTAGGGTCAATGCTTATTCACAGATGACAATGCGTTGAGGTATGGCGACAAAGCTTTAAATACAGGCTGCTCGGATGGTGCACGAGAAGGTTTCTTCACTCACCCTACTGTAGCAGGCTGTAAGGGCTGGTGGCAAGGTCGCAAGAACCTTAGAGCCCAACCCTCCTCTGCTGGAGCCAAATGCGGAGATGACGTCGGAAACTTGGGTCGTTCCTGCAGTCAGCCAGCTGACTTGTGCCAGACAGGGTGGCATGTCTGTGGAACGTTTGGAGACGTTTTTGAAATTGACAACCGAGTAATTGTTTTGTTGCATTTATTTATAAGTTATAAGACATTACCCATCCTGAATCGAACGCCACAATGCTACTGATTTATTAAACTCACACTACTTCATTAGTAGTACTGAGTACGTTTTATCAATCTATAGCTATTTTCTGTGCCAAGTTTAAACTGATTCAGTTTCTAGTCATGCTGTTATGCCTTACAGACATTTTCTTGTGCGGTTTTAATAAGTCTGTTAACTATGCTTTCCTGTTTCTTCTGGCGTGTACTTTTCTATTTATCCTCAGCTTTGTATTAACATTTAATGATTCTCTGATAAATTAGATCAGATTAATAATACCGACGGCAAGTAAGTTCAGACGTGCAGTTGCGGGAAACTCAGGCAACTTCGATGTTACTATTCATTTAGTGATATGGCGTGGGATAAATTGGAGTGCTTTCAGTCAATCAATCAAATAATATTACTTACAGTGGCGTTATAGTATACAAAAGTTAAATGACGCAAATGTTCATTTATTAATTTTTGATTTTTAAGAATCCGCTATGAAAATTATACTCAAAAATTATTGATGTCTGTGCTAAAAAGACAATTTTGCTTCTTTTTTAACTGGATAAAGCTCGTAAAATTGTTGTTATTATTGTTGTTCAGACAAATGGAATCGACTGTCAAAGGGCTGGCTATGGCCATTTCAGTGCCGGTATCAACCACTGTAAGACCAACAGTGGGGGAGGTGATGGCTGCAAACGAGTGGTGCCCAGAGTTGATTATGGGTGTGGCCAATACCACGAAAGTTGCTCAGAACCCCTGTGTTGTGGCGCTACTTGCCAAGGCCCAGACTCCTGTGATTCAGGTAACGCGAAATAATGCAACAATTGTGTCATGTTAGGTCTGTTGTAGATTACGCATTGCACTTAAATATTTCACGAGTCCCATTCTTGAGTACTCGTGAATATCACAGATGTTCATCGCACATTGCGTAAAGTAAAATAATCTAATCAATCACTTTGTTCAAGTGTGGAAGTGTTTAAGAGTGCCTGCCTGTAAAAATCAGACAAATTCTTAATTTCGCGGCAAGGGTCGAAAATTCGATTTCGCTCATATTCTTATGGTAGATAGGCTA